CAATCTTTATTTTAAGTTGACGCATCTGACTCATGGGCGCTTACTGGCGAATTCTGAGGCCTCGATGGGTTCCACCTCACGCTTATTTCTATTATCCTCGAGGACAAGATCTTGTTTGTTGCCAATCAACATTATCACTGCATCGTCGCAACCTCGACTGTTGTTGTAGAAGTCTTGTAAAAAGTGCCGAACTTCTTCAAACGTCTTTTTTCTTGTTACGTCGTAAACCAAAATAATTGCATCCACAGCGCGGTAATATCTGTAATTATAAAAATAATCAGTGCTGTGAGAAAATTAAACGGAGGGAAAAAATTGATGGATAGGTCTAATATGTTTATTTGCGCATTTGTTTATGTGAACCATACTACAACTTGGATAACTCAAAACGCAAGAAGACAAAGCGAGCGGCCAAAATTTGTTACAATCAATAAATTGTCTTCTGGCAGAGATTTGATCCATTCTGTAGGTATTTTTTTTAGATCTAAGGCGGCATAAATGACCAAAGGCAATTGTTTGCAATTATCTTACGTTAATGTATTAAAGAAGTATCGTTGTTTGTACAGAATTGGAGCTACAACTTGTACACCATGCAGAAAAATTGTTCAATCATATACAGACAATATATAACAACGTCGTGCGCGTGTGCGCGACAGCGGACGAGAATACGAAATTTTACTCACGTGCGGGACATTGAAATATACGTCCCCTTTCCAGGACAGTCCCAAAGTTGTAGCTTCACAGATTCATCAAAATCTTCAGAATTCACAGTTTTAATTCGGTAATCTGGCCCTAGCGTTGGAGCGGTCTTTGCTAGAAACTTGTCATCTACGTATCTGTCTAAGAGACTAGTCTTTCCGCTTTCAGTCGCCCCCAGGAATATTACTATGTTGTAAAAAAACATTTAGTATTAAAAGATATTAACAATAAGCATACGACCAACATTCATTATCACAAGTCCATCGCTTTAGCAGACTCTTAATGTCACTTAATGTGACTCTTAATGACACCCAGGCTTAAGGCGAGGAATAGACTCACCTGAGAATACACATCTAGGGTATACACAATACGAACAGCTAGAAAGTAGGCCTACGTCTTCGCGATTGTCATAACTTTTACCTCTATATATACATGTATGTGCTGTCACTATACTCGATGTGCATATTGTAAAAAGGCCAATTCATTCACAAGAAACAAGCTCATTAAAAATAGAGATATAGGGAAAGAGGGATCATTAGAAAATCAAACTCTCGAGAGTGAACTGAACAGTAATAGGATAAGCTATAGATATGGTTGTGACTTATGCATCACGTTAAAAAGCTACAATGTAGACTCTTTTATCACCTTTTAGCCGACGTTCAGCCGTCTGGCTCACAGCTTTGTCCAGTTTCTCAATAATAAAGCGCTGGTCACATTCGCCCTCTTCCAGCCCCTTTCTAAAAACGCTATAAGCGCTATGATCCTTCGTTCCAAGTATATCTAACAACTTCTTCACCTTATTCTCGCGCGTAGTCTGACCAACTATGTCGTCATATTCAGAACGGGCAAGTTTCCTTTCCTGGAGCAAGAGCTCTATGACCTCGTCAGCGTGCAAGTTTTTGGTTAAGAACACTCTGTTCTTCAATAAAATTGAGTTTCCTTTAGATGAAGTCTTACTTCCTTTAACAGACGCCATTTTCTACGGGTTATCCGTTTCTGTTTACGATGTAACAAAGAGATGACCTACTTTATGAGGTATCAGCCTTTTTATTGAAAATAATGACAAGGCANGTGCACGGCGACGGCGACGGCGATGGCGACGACAGACGCAGATGATGGCTATATGTACAGACACATCTGTGTCTGTACATAAAAAGGGTGGGTAGTGCACGAATGGGGGCATTTCTTCTACGTGGTATACGATACAACAAATTATCTCTGAGCTTCTATGGTGAACCATTATCCACTAAAACGCTGGTTTCACCATCATAATTGAAATGTATGTGCATGGCACAAATAAGAGAAACGTACAGTGAAGTAAATTACTGAAAAAAAAAATGAAAAATCATGGAAAAACAAAGGAATAAAAAAAGAAGCATAATTCTATGCGCAGTGTTTTATTCAACTGATCATATGTATACAGATGTATTTATTTAAAAAATACTTTCTACTGCGCACCCCGTTTTTATTCATTTTTTGCGCTATATCCATTCTTTTCATCAATGTACGGAATGAGCTCCAAAATCTTACAGGATAAATGTTTACAGTCGTAGCCTACAGGCAGTCCTTCACGCGCTGCACTTTTACAAAGAAAATACAACAAGCTGTACTATCAAGACGGTTTTGTCACTTCAGTTCTTTCAACCAATTTCCTGAAAGTTTCCAGTTTGTTTTCTTCTGTGCTTTTCCTCAGGGTCTCAAAGAATGAGAAAAAATGGTGGAAGTTGTGTCTGTAAAGAAAATAAAAAATAGTCAAACAATATTTAATACATAATTACTGTAGACCCAGCAGATACAGATAAATTAACGCCTTTTCATGCATACCATTAGAACTTAAATATTCATACTTGTATTTGTGGTCCCCTTATTACTGACACTGAAGTTTTGCCACCAGGATTATCACAAATTGATGGGAAAAAGGCTCAGAAGAAAATGCTGACAAGTTCAAAAAGCCCTTCTTTTTCTTCCCTCTCTTTACCAGAGGCTAGTTGTGAGATGATGTCAATCCCGGCAAAAATTCTGGCTAGATGTACAGTACAGAAATGTGCACAAAATTAGCCAGTGAAGTATCTGTGAATATTCAGAGAAAAAAATCTTTGGGGACAGGTGGAGTACTCTCTCTCTCTCTCTCTCTTTCTCCAAACTTACATCATGAGCAGCACTCCTCTGAGAAGTTCCCCAGTGTTGCACAGGTGGTTTAAGTAGGCCTTGGTGTAATTCTGGCAGGTGTAACATTCACAACCTTTTAAAAGTGGTGTGAAGTCATCAAAATATCTGAAAAAAATGCACACATAGATATAAACATTATGCCAAATCAAAATAAAGAAGTCGGCATGCAATGTTTTACAAATACATTTAAATAATAATGAAAAAGTCTGTGTGTGTGTATATACTCACTCTAATATTATTTTATGAAACAACATTAATTAGCAAAAAGGTAATAATAATAATAAAAATAATAAAAATACACCATACTTAAACATAACCTTTTATCATTCAAGTCAATGTGATATGAGGCTTCATTGTTCCAAATATTTTCATCAGTGAGACCAGGTGAAACCTTGAAGGGAAACACAAGAGCACACCCTCTCTCTGTGAGTAAGTAAGGATAGCTGAAGATAAAAGTCAAGGACACAACTTTTATCTTATTTTACAAAATATTTATATGAAACAATGATAAAAAGTTCTATATAATACCGAGGGTATAAAGCAATGTCAAGGATACGTGCTGTCAAATAAATCTATCCCGCACTGCACTGCTTTTATTATAGCACCTGGACTCCACATTCCAGGCAGGTAACGTACCTTGTGGTCTGGAAGGACTGCCTGGAAATAAATTCATGCTTTTTTAATTACTGTTTTTATCATTATGAAATAAAAGTCATTAGTATATTATCATAATCTCTGAAAGACATGCTATAAAATATTGACTGAAAATAATTTTAAATGATAATAATCATTTAGTCTATTTTCATGCACTCTATGTGAACTGTAACCATCAATAAAATGATAATTCAAAAACACTGGTATCTCCCCTTACTGTTGTATCCTTCAGTACTGCCTCTATATCCATGATCTGAAACTGTTCCATCTCTGGCCCAAATCTGTGAAAACCCTCCAGTATAAACCCTGGAAGTGTTACAAAGTATTACAAATTATTACAGCACATAATACCTGATGTATTAATCAACTAATAATATTTCTGTAATAAATTTTACACCCATTGACTGAACTTACAACTTATTTTCACTGCACTATACTAAGCACTACAGCTTTCAAGCACATTATATAATATTTATCCATTTTAGGTGTAAAATTAAATAAAGAAAAAAGAACTTCCTAAAATCCAAATAAATAAATAAATAAAATTGTTTTATTCCAAATAAAAAATTACCTCCCCCCTCCCCAAACTGATTTCAGAATTCTTCAAAATTAAAAATCTGCCATAAATACCCCCCCCCCCCCCCAGGCCTAGGGCACCACACTACTGCACACCAAATTTATATCCAAAAGTCAATGTTACCTTCTACTGGCCTGAGACACGTCTGTTTGGCACTTCTGATTCTTTCATTAACATCATATCCACCTTCTATCACACCAAATATTGCACTACTTTTTAGAACCTAATTTAAGAGTGAAAATAATCAAGTGAATATTTATAAATATTGTATCAAATTATCATTAAGCAATGGAATCACACATGCAGTGTCCATTTCTTCCAATTTTTGGATATTTGTCTAATTTAATACTATAATGTATTTGATATGTTTTAATATTCTGACATGAAAACATGAGTAAACTGATCAATAAAAGTTTTCTCTGACCTGAGATGCACTATGTTTTTCTATACATGAGTCAAGAAAATGTAATGTTCTGTCTACAGCTTTTTGTAATCGTTTCTTGGAAGAATTCCTGTCTGTATCACTATCACAGAGGGGTTGGTACCAGTCTGGTCGTATAGCCTCTTGCAGCTTTATGAAACGCTCTACATCAAGCTGAAACATTGAGAAGTAAAAGCATGAAATGTTAACTTCTACGTCTTCTCAACACTAGCATCAAAATGTTCAATAGACAATAACAATGAATGTTGTGTAAATTCAAAATTTAAAATGTGACATATTTGTTTGTTGTAAGTGTAAGACATTAAATTACATTTATCTTAGAATAATTTGATCACTTTTGTCACTTAAGAAAATTAGTCTGCACCTTCAACTTCTCAGCTCTCTAGTTACTTGGACTAACATGTATGCCTACAAATTCTACAACTCTGAATCCAAATAACTAGTGTAAAGAGAACTTTTAAGTACTAATGGAAAAATAATCAGCAATCACTAAATTTCCACTCGTCCAACTGGACTTATTCTATCAACACTGAATACTGAATTTTTTCAACTAGATCAATGTTAATCTCACAATAAATTGCCTAATACAAGTGGCTAATGTCACAGCCTGTTTAACTTTCAAGAAAAAAATCTAATATGACCCTGAGATGACGTCCATACCTTAATCTTCCCCCCTCTGGACCACACTGAGGCTCCGTTCTTGTCATTAAACCCAGTCGGAAATCCTTCAGCAGAATCGTGGAATGTGGAAAATATTAGCCGATTCTGAAATGTTCAGTTGGAGTTTCATTATTTATTCCAATTACTATATCATTTTAATCTAAATTTATAATTTTAAAATTCACATTATACAAACGGAATTCAGTGAAGAATAAGCCAAGAACAAAGACTTTTATAGTATAATCATTTTTTGAAATAATTCAAATTTATAACAGTCTCAGTCTTATAACAAAATGCAATCATTTATAAGAAAGTGCGTACCTCCATGACAGCATACTTGCCCATGCCTTTTCCAAAGGCCTCTAAACTCTCCTGATGCTCTGCCCTTAAAAATGTGTAAAAAAAATTCAATTTACCTTACTAAAAACAATTTTGAATTTTTCTTAATATCATGTGTATGGTCAGTCTTAGAGATCCAACTGCATGTTGCTCCCACACAGTAATGAAACATCTCTAATGTCAATGAACTTAAAACTGTGTATCAATCATAACCTAACTATGTTCCAGTCAGTTTTAATATTTGTCTATATGATCCCATTTTCTCTCCAATGTCTCTTATTTTTGTCATCAACATGAACCCCCTTCCTCTCAAATTATTACATTCATTCATGAAAAAGATAATCATATAACACTTACGCAAATCCAACAGGCAGGTGTGCAACAAGGGGAGCTCCTTTCATATACTGGGCCAGCAAACTATGTGTCAGGTAAGGGGCACTGCCTGTGAATAGTGTATATCACAAAATCAAGAGAATTTTAACAGGGGTCCAAACTGGAGAAAAATGTGTTTATGTGAAAAGACATATTTACTTACCAGGTAAAACTCTGCAAAATGCTTTACGGACATGTAAAAATATGTATACGTACATTTGATTATTGTCTTTCAGCACTACTGTACATGCATTTGTAAATTTATCCATGTGCTCAAAAAGTGATCAAATAAAATAACAACTTAATTATATCTCTATAGGTCTGTGCTGAAATACAAGTGTTAATTTGTAAACTATTTGATGTGGTACTTATTGAAAAATAATTCAAATTCTGTTTTATGCAAGTGCTTGTCTCATAGTTAGCCTCCAACAGTTCTATATAAGAATTTTCACATGTATTACTGTGTTGCAACTGTAAGTATCACAAAAGCATATCAAAAGTATTTACTGGTTCTGTAAGTTTGAAGTCAAATGGATTTCCACATATACATGTAGTGTTATCTCTGAAAGTGGACATGTGATGGCAAAGAAGAAGAAAAACATTAATAATAACAACTTTGAATTAATTATAACAACAATAAAAATAAATGGAAAGTGGTTGTATATTCTGACATACCACTGGTGCTGTACAGGAGACAGGCAGGTGTGTGTATTTCCCTGTCAGCCAGTCTCCCCAGCTCAGTCAAGACACCTGCTCTGGCACTGCTGGTGCTGGAGGTGGCTTGCACAGCAAACTTCATAGTGGACTGAAAAATAAATAGAAATAGCTCTGTGGGCCAGTCTAGAATACAGCTAGTCTAGTCATTATGATATCCAACTTGGTATGTTATACTTGACCTCCTGAACTTTACTACTCAGTGACTACTGCATCACTTTAAAGATGAACATTTTTTTTCCATTTGTTAGTCATCAGTTCTTTGATTCAGCATGCATGTACTGTGCCTGCACATTAGACCAACCCGTCTCCGCTCTTTAATTATGGACACAATCTGGTGGAAAGGCTAACAGTAACAGAAGCAGACAAAATGCCACCCTCTCAGTCACCATTAAGAATGAAATTGGTCTGCAACTAAATCAGATCTTTGGAATAATGAGACTGAAACAACTTTAATCTGAACATATTGATACCGCCTTTCCACCCAAGGGCGAAAGATGATGATAATTACATTTATGAGACAAAACAAAAATAACAGTATTATTTCCCTTTCTATCGTTCTAAAAAGCCGGTCCTTGCCTCAGTTTTCAACCTTACATGTTACACACGTACATCACTTGTAATGTCGAAACCCGAGGTAGGTCAAGTTCAAGTGTAATACACTAGAACTGTGTATCCCTTTCCATCATCCCCCCCCCTCTTTACAACATCTTCATGTATGTAATAGTAAAACAACAATGTTAAATGTACACATTCCATGAAGTCTATTTTTACACGTTAACATTACCTTCGAAAGCTTGGCACGTGTGCCAGTGTTTATCACTAATACTAAAGAAATCAAATCTTCACTGCCAAAAGAGCCAAAGCAGAGGTTAAATTAAAAACAGTTAATAGTTTCAAAACATTTATATGTACAAAACAAGACATTTCAATCACGTATATTAAAATTTTATTGAATAATATTACGTTTATTACTTTAAATTATTATCTAATTGGATAAAATGTAGATTTTATCTTACAAAATTTACCTTATTTGTGCGAAACTAATATTAGACAAATGGCTAACTTTGTAATTATATGGGACCTGCAGTGAAATACACAAAACATGGTGCACGTAAACATTCCTGCGGCACTTACTGAGGAGGAAGAATTACTGCAGAAGAAATATGCTAAGTTGAGGAGGAAGGTTTGTGTTCACCACAGATCTCACTTACATTTACTCCTTTCTTGCTTTGGATTAGAATACACTCATCGTAAAAAAACTAATAAATAACTAGAAGTATATGCTCAGAAAACGACATAATCCCATTAGTAATAGATATTTCTGTTTGTTTTTCAACTGTCATTCAGTTATTATAGACTCTACAACTTACCCTAAGAAAGACCTTAGCTGAACTATTGTTTTAGATCAACTTCTTCAGTGCAGATTATTTTATCCTATTTATTTTTATTTATTTTATTTGAAAATGTATGTCAAGAACGGATCAGATTATAAAGTGATAAAAAGTGATATTTGGTATATGTGGGTAAATTTTTGTTATTACTGCATGCAGTAATAAAAAAGTTACTGATGTATGATTTATGGCAGTGCTGACTCATTCTGAATCTTTTCTTTTTCAGAAAAAGGTATTACAGGCTCTAAAAGCACCAAAGGCAGAGGCACCAGTCCCTCAGGCAGAATCTCTCAAAAGAAGTTGGTATATTGTTGAAATCAGGCTATATAAGTGGAATACAAGTGCTATTAATCTGTTGTTTAAAGTGCCAGCCATGGGATCATTGATAATTAGATATGAGCTGCCTTGGCAGTGATCTGTACTCTCTGAGTGATTTTCTAGTTAATGTTATGCTCTTATACTGCTTCTCATTACATTCATTGACTCTGATTGGCTAAAGATAGTATTATATTACAGAAGTTCAAGATATATGTAACATGCTGTTTTTCTCTGTTGTTTTAGAACAATCTGAAGCATCAGCAGTAGATGCCAAAGAGCAAGCTAAAAAACTTCTGAAATCTGGAGTAAGTTGATTTTGCTATTTCTAATTGCATTAGGCAGCTATCAGCTCACAACATGTCTGATTAAAAAGATCCTCATTTTGATTTATGGATTAAGGTTTTCATTTGCTGAAACATAAACTGAATACTTCCCATATTTAAAACTGGGTTTAGAATTTTTCAAAAATATTTTCAAAAAAGGATGATCATTATTTTAAAATTCATATTTGAACTTGTAGTTTATTCTCTCTAGGGTTCACAGGTTCCCCAGAATCTCAAAACGCCAATATTGATTGCTTCATTTTATTTTATTTGACACATTTTAGGCCATTAAACTAGGACCAGGATACAAAGATAAACATAGCTTCAAGAAGTCTAGGAATTTGGAAAAGAAGTTGAAGGCAAGAAATTATCTTCTGTCATTTTTGAATATATATTAAATCTTTTACCTAAATTTTGTTGTTTATTAAAACTACAAAATAATGCCATAATGATATTAAATGACAAAGTGGTTTATAAATTTTATCTTGGTATATGGTGATAAGAATCTTTAAATATTGGAATAGCTGAAATATTTTTTATAAATTTTATCATTTAAATTATGTTGAATTTCATAGTTCTCCCATGAGTCTACAATTGCAGTTGGCATATTTCAATACTTCCTTTGTGTTACATGAACAAAATGTGAACATTTCATATTGTTGCAGGATCCTGAAAAACTCAGTTTATCTTACAATTTCCAACCATTTTCTCCCACTCCGCCAGAAGAGCCAGAGGCAAGTGATTAACTGATTTTATTAAAAGATTTCCCTTGAAATAGAATGTATTAGTAAATAATAAGAAATGTGATAGAGATTATCAGTTATCATAAAAGGAATGTAGAAGGAAGTTGTCTTGGATGTTATATGCATATGCTAGTACATTTTTCTGAAGAGTGACCCCTTGTTGAAGCTGCAATAATAAGATTTTTATAAACTTTACTTTATCTCTGAAATAATGAACATACCATCTTGTTCCATTTGGAATGAAGATCGTATTTGTATTATGTTTCTTCTCAATGACTATATGTTTCTCTTCATCTTGGATTTTACAGCCTTCCAAGCCCAAAGTGAAAGGCCTGTATGAAAGTTTTGTGAGTTCGTCAGATAAAGAACATGGAAGTAAGCTAACAACAAAATATTTTATATGTGTACACACATACATACACACATGCACACACACACAAACACACTTATACACACACACACACACACAAAATAGGACCTACTTTCAGGTAGATGTCAGATTTTGAAAATACCTCCACAGTGCTTCTGTATCTCTGCATGTGGATGGAACAGAATGGATGCAGATATTTTCAATCAATATTTGAAATTTTCAAAATTCAAATTTGCCCATGGAGATATTTTAACATTTTTTGTCTCCTTTTCAGGGCATGACAGAGAATCTAGAAGGGACCGGGGAGATCGGCCAGAAAGAGACCGGGACCGTGAATATCCTAAGAAAGGCAACACTATTTATGTGTATGGCCAGGGAATCACTGAGGAGATGCTGAAGAAAGCTTTTGCAAACTTTGGCACAGTGGTCAATATTAACATGGAAGTTGAAAAGAAGTGAGTAACTTCAGTATTGCATCCATATCCTTTAAAAGCAACCGATTATTTAGGAGCAGTCGGCATAAAATCGTGTAAAGTTAATATGAAGAGCTGTTTGCACTTGTGATGGGAGTAAGTAAAACTGGTAGATTATCTATTGTCGAGTTGAAACTTTTGTTGGAAAAAGGTGGGGTCAAGTTAATCTCAAATAAAACCCCTAGTCAAAAATCATTAATTTGACATATTAAAAGCATCTTATAAAATAAGTTTTATTTGTGCCTTACAATGATATTCACAATGTCATTAACCCCATAGAGCCTGACAGCATCTGACCTAGAAAGTGCCCTTGGTCCTGAGCCCTCTACCCGTATGCACTCAATTTTACAGGCGGGCTCATTTAATCAATGATAATGTATTCACTTCTTTCGAAAACACCTGAAAACTGTACATTTTTAGAAAGCCAAGAATGTAAGCTTTAAAGTCATATCAGTTTTATTCACATTTGTTTATTTAGGTAGAAATAGCAGGAGTTTAAATATGAGACTTGCTTTTCTCGAAGAGAAGTAAAAAACAAAACTTTAATTTCAGCATGCACATTCTTTTTCACTTTACCAAAGAATTTGTTGAAATTTTCTCATAAACATCCGAAATATGTTTCAAACAATATCAGAAAATTTCAGAAAGATATCTAATTTAGTTTTTGAGTTATAATAAATTTCCTGGGATGCGTGCTGTACCTAAAAACCTGCATCACGTCAGAGAGTTGCACAACATACAGGCAGGCTAGCTGACTAGAAGACTTCCACCTAATATTACTCTTATCATTACAAATAGATTGTAAATTAAGTGCCTTTTTCATTAGTTTTCCATAGTTTTTTAATCAACTGAACTAGGATACTCATAAAATTTTGTTTTGCACTCAAATCATATACAAGAATACAAACATTGTCATGAGCAAATATTACACTTTCATGAATAAAAATTGCATCATAAAAATACTAGTAAACGTGTCATTTGTACTAATACACAAGCAGGAAAAGACATGTTGATACAGCGCACTAGTAAACATATTACATCTGTATTTATACACAAGCAGGAAAAGACATATGTTGATGCAGCACACAAGTAAACGTATGTCATTTGTACTTAGGCATAAGCAGGAAAAGACATGTTGATGCAGTACAACGTAACATATGACATTTGTATTTATGCAAAGCAGGAAAAGACATGTTGATGCAGCACACAAGGCAACATTTAGCCTGACTTGCCACGGAACGGTTACAGTCATTTTATCAGCAATATAACCCTTCCAATTACTATTGTCATCTGCTTGGTTACTGCAGTTAGTATCATCAGCGTTTTTCATAAATCAAGCCCCACGTCCGAATCTGCTCTCTGACAACTCATTCTAGCCAAAGGTACATCATCTTTGAAGTTATCGGAGTATCAAAATCTATCAAGGACTCTTCCCCGAAGTCTGAATTTTCTAACAAATCTCGAATATATTTTTAACCCATAACTTCTGCTGACTTCTCGCCGCCATTTTGACTGCTTAGCGCCTTGACAGTGGTTGAAATAAATCGCTTTTTCATTATCTAATTCTCGCTACACGTCTTTCAAAAGCCGGTAATAAACAAAAAACTAACATTAAGTTAGTCTTGTGATAGAAGCATGAATTCTTACAAATGACATGGGACAGTACAAGCATGTAAACACAGAAACCGCGTATATGCGGTTCCCGGCACTGAGGACTTTTTAAAATGAACCGCATATGTGCTATGGGGTTAAGCCATAACACAGTTTATGCCAAAACCTCTTTAGCTTCATGGCCATGAACCAAGTTTTCCCATGAATTTTCTGACCCAAAACAGGAACAGGATCAGTAACTGAACAAATTGACCAAATTTATCTTGCAGAATGCTGTGCTTCAATTTTTACTGGCATTTTGGGATGGCACTAGTGTCAATGTTGTAGTTTGATAACATACTAATTTATTCTGTAAAACCAATTATGAATATACCCAGATGTGGAGCATGGTGATCCCAGAGATATTAAATATAAATTATTACCTTTCAGTTGTGGTTTTGTGACATTTGAGAAGATGGAGTCTGCAGAGGAGGCCATCACTCATATGAACAACACCATGGTGCAGCAGATCCAGCTCAGAGTGTCCCTGGCCAGACGACAACCCACTTTTGAACAAATTGCTGACCCGAGTAACGCCACATGGACGACAATAGGTGAGAAGCACCACCATGATGGTCAGTGCTTATATCACAGGGGATGTGGAGAAGTGAAAGTCCAGAGGTGGAGTTTTATGAATATAAGCACGTCATGCATGAATGCAAGGTTTGCCATGCCAGGGTCTTTTGATCTTGACATCTGGTGTAGTATATGTCAGGTACACCACCTGTCAACAGGGTGTATGTGACACTTACTGGTGCCTCACACTCCTGTATATCACATACATCTGATTCTCCCTGTATCTATTACATAATTTTGTTTGTGGACAGTTAGCTTTAATGTTGATGGTCAGTTACAGTTAACAATTCTTTGTCGTGTACAAACACAAACTAGACATTATTGGAATACCTTACAAGTTGAACGTGGATTTAAGACCCATCTCCTGTCTTTCTCAGTAGATTCTGATAGAGGAAATGGCATATTAAAATCTGTAGAATCTGTGAAAAGTTTTAGAAGAAATTTTCTTTTTTCATTCATTTCAGCTGCCAACAATTCCCAGAAAGGATTTCATAAAGATAAAAGACAATTGGTTTCTTATGACCCAGAAGAGGATATTTTTTGATAAGGATAAATTATTTTATATTTGCAAAAAAAAAAAAAAAAAAAATGAACAAGAAAATTAGAAGCAGCAAGAGAATTTGCCACACTTTGGTTGCAGCTTTACTGAAAAATCTGTAAGGCAACAAGAACACAGATATTTGACTGTCAGATATTGATGTTAAAAAGGGTGAATTCTTATGACAGAAGTAAGGTTCGTCAGGCTCACGTTTCCATGACAACAGCAAACTTCTCTTACCAAGTACACACAGATCATCTTTTTTCCAGTAAAAAAACTTTGGAATAGAAAATATTACATTTGCAGTGAGAAGAAGTGACTCTTCTTACCTACGTACTTTATTATTTGGCTCATTATACAAGTCCAAGCATGGATTCATTTTGGGAAAAGGTCTGTTTGAAGTTATTGAAAGCACAAGTCATTAAGGAAATATTTGAAGCTTTTGAATTATAATTTCAATGAAATTATATAGTTAAAAGTTAATTTCAAGCTGGAAATAAACAAATGGTCAATGGATGAAATGCATTTATTATTCTTTGCCTTTGGCTGATGTATAAATAAACTATTTTTTATAAACAATATTGGACAGTGTTTTGTTAATCTTATATTGACAACCTATCATGCTTTGCTTTTTTAGTGAAAATGGTCATGAGTACAACGTTCATGACAAATTGTAAAAAATATAAACCTTTTAATCTTATCTGTGGCATATACAGCAAAACGTCCCCAGTACCACAAATACTTAGACTTACTGTGCATCAAAAAAGTATCCTAATTTAGTATCATAACACTAAATTGAGTGAATCTTTTCATATTAGTATGTGCCTACCACTAATTGTCAGCATTCCAATACCAACGGTAGACACGCTACGAAATGAGCTTCTGCTTATCTTTTAATGCTGAACCTTTAAAAGTAACAAAAAAAAAAAAAAAATAAAAAAAAAAATGTCAGCTGTATCAACTTGTATTATAAATTGAACATCCTAGGTCTCATTTACATAGGACTCTACCTCCATTCAAAATTAAACTTTGACAAAAATTTAAAAAAAACATCTCAAATTGTAAACTGAACACACAATACTTGATATATTTTATCTATGATCAAATTTTAGATAAGTGCTGAAAATATTGGCTTCACCAAATGGGTACATATCTAGATTTTGTCTCAAGCCTTTGTGTAGCTGGACCCTAATTTAATCTCAGACCCATCGCTTTGTAAAATGGCAAATCTAAAATGCCAACTTGGTTGTGATAAAGATGAAAAATTAGCCCCATGTCTCGACATTTTGCTCGATGTGGAATGATGTCAGTTATCAACTGGTCACATCATACAATTATGATGCCAATACATTTCTACACACTTTCAGTAGATACACTGAGAAAAATTCAACATAACATTATTACATAAGACTTGTACACTAACCCTTGTTCAGATTATTACCCTTATATGTTTGAAATCATATTCAACACCTGCTTCAATCAATCTGGATGTTTTCACTTTTTATAACAAAGAAAGTAAAACAAATATATCTGATATGGATTTCTTTAAATTCCTCAAGGTCCGAGTTTTATTAACAAGGTGGGAAGTGACCAACACTGCATATTTCTGAATTCAGCAACAAATGTTTTACCAACCGTCCTCAGGCAAATGCCAAAAAAAAAAAAAGACATTTACAAAATCCACTGACCTACACGTCACTGAATACCTAATTTTGTCTTCCTATTGTTCTACTTAACTTCAAAATTGGTAATAATAATAATAATAATAATAATAATAATAATAATAATAATAATTGAATATCAATATCTGTACTTTAAAAAAAACTACAAAATATCAACACTTGACAATGCTATATAGATCCTTGCACGTTTTTAGTGCTCAATATAATGATAGCATCAGAATCATCACATTAAAGAACACAGAATATTAGTACTCTAGCACTTTATTCGTATTGGGCTATCAACACCATCATGTAGACACCTGTCAGTAAGGCAATGATTTCTTTTACAGATTGCCAAAACTTTGTGTCCTCCAGTAGCTCTGGTATCACGGACACCGTGGCAATGTATATGAAGCCCCCAGCAGTAAAAGGGAGGATCCACGAGGTGGCGTAGTCGCCTGCACCCTCCGCCATTAGACTACATAGTGTTCCCAGCATAGCGCCTATAGCTGTGGAGAATTGGAGAAGCATAGCCTATAAAGAAAAAAAAATGTACTGAGTATTAATGGAGAAATTTAAGGCAAAAGCCCCTCTGAAAAACTGATAAATAAAGAAAATTATCAAACTGAAAATGAAATGATTGTATAAATACATCTAGAGTCATTTTGAAATAATTCATTAGAGTATATTTTTTCCTTTAAAAAATTGATAAAAAACAAAATGCAAAATTACAAGTAATTACTTTCTCATAGTTTTAATCAAATTTGACGAAACCAAACTCCATTTTCAAAATCATTAATACACTAAAAATAGATAAACAATAAAGCTTTAACAAATTAGAAGTTTTTGTATTAAAAGTATTTTGATGAGAATTCAGCTGTGAAGTCTTAGGGCATTAAATAGTGCCGATTAAAATAACACATTTAAAAACCTACTTTTCTCTTTGTACAACCAGACTGCACTAGGATAGCAAAGTCTCCAATCTCATGTGGTATCTCATGCAGAAATATGGTTATTGTGGTAATAATACCTGAAAGATGAATGATAACAGACATAAAGTCACTGCTGTAGTTAAAATAGTAAAAAATGACAAAAGGCAGAGAATAAAACAGCACTGAAATTTAAAAAAATAATAATAAAATTGTGGGTCAACATGAGGGAAAGGAAATAATCACTTTTAGAAATTCCCTCAGAGTTTTAATCAAATGCTTGGGTTGGTTTGCAAGACAACTGTAATCTTTTCGGTTGACAATATAAGTTTGTCTCTCTTAACTGATAAAAGTGGATATATCCCCAAGTTAAGAAATTAATCCATCCAAAAGAAGTGTCAGTGTAGTTCTCCACCCCCCTTCCTACTTGGCTGACCTCTAAGGGCAGATGCAAGGATACCTACCAACATTCTGGCCTACCAGAAAAGAGGCACCTATGGCAAGACCATCTGTGAAATTGTGAGCAAAATCGGCTGCAAGATTCAAGTAGCCTGCAACTTTTATATCCTCTTCTGGTGCTTCTGTAATATATATATAACAGGTGGTTTAATTAATGACTTCTTTCTGTGTGCCCAAAAAGGTTCTTGTTGTAACTCTTTAAACAAATTATTAATTTTAGTAGTTTCTCTCCCTCTTTCTCTCTCCAAGCACTACTGGACTGTTTTATTAAATGACATATCTATGTAACACATGCACCATAAATAACAAACCTGTAGCACCCCTTTCTTCTTCTTCTACTTTCTTTTCTCTATCATCTTCATCCTCTTTATCCCCATTGTCTTTTTCTTTTTTCCTCTGTCGTAGTTCTGTTGACGTTTCCTCCTTTTCTTCCTCTTTATCACTTGATCCCTGTTTGGAGTCTTCCTCCTTTGTCTCTTCCTCCTCTTTTTTGTCTTCATCTTCCTCAGGGGATTCCTTTTCTGGTGCAGGGGAAGAATGACTATGGCTGTGACCATGCCCCCCTTTCATTATCCTTACAAACTTTTCCACCATGAGAAAAGCTACAATCCCTGCCAGCACCCATAGACCTACAAATCAAATGATGAAAAATAGCAGGCAAATTCATATTATTTGTGCAGTTCTCAATGAATGAATCAATGACTTAAACAAAGTTTGAAAAAAAAAAAAAAAACTCACTAAATATAGAGATTTTAACAGCCTGGGTTTTTTTAGCATATGATACAAAAATACAGTTAACATTTACAGTCCTTATAATGCTTGTGTCACTTACCAACACCCATGTCATGGGAGTGATCATGGGAGTGGCTATGTCCATGACTGGCATCGTGGGAGTGGCCATGTCCTACATGCTCCTCCCCTTCTCCATGGGAATGTGGTGATACGGCATGTGGAATAAGATGGAGGAATGCGTCACCCAGGAGCCCCCCAGAGGCAAAACTTAACAAAACTTTCAACAACTCCTGGTGAGAGTCATGGGCATTCTCCACAGGGATGAAGAATAAAATAAACACCGGGGCACAGCTGATCATGGCAGTGGCTGACAGAGCTTGGATCCACAACATGGCTCCACCCTTCTCTGGAGGGGGTGTTTCTTTTGGAGGGATATAGCGCTCAAATTTCTTTGGTTCTTGATGCCCATGTGCATGCCCGTGTCCATGACTGTGTGCATGCCCGTGCCCATGATCATGTGCATGCCCATGTCCGTGACTGTGTGCATGCCCGTGTCCATGATCATGTGCATGCCCATGTCCGTGATCGTGTGCATGACCATGCCCGTGATCATGTGCATGCCCGTGTCCATGATCATGTGCATGACCATGATTATTTGCAGGAGCACCTGTAAAACATAGTACATTATGATATATATATATATATATATATATATATATATATATATATATATATATATATATATACAGAGTAGAAACATAAATCCAATTTTTATGTAGAGGTTACAAGAATAAAAAAAGAGCCAAGAAATAGTGTTAATAAATAAAAGTAGTCTCATTCAATTGCACATGAGTATTTACATATTTCTGCATTATCAGAATTGTTATTCTATGGAAAAGTACTTATTATTTTCATGTTTCAAATTCAAAAATATACTAATAACAAATATAAGAGTAAGAAAATATTCTATTAAAGTTAACATTAGGTTAACTTTAAAGTTATTAAAGTTATATAACTATTAAGGTTATTAAGTTAACATAAAATTGTACACAGAATTCACTGAGCAAAACATCAACAATAAGTTTTCCCAGGTCAACTTAGCTAACAAACCATCTGCCTTGTAAGATTAACAAGCATATGCCGGCGTCGCTGCCGGCTAACATGGCGAAAAAAAAACATAAAAATCGAATGCTGTACCGTCTTGTTTTGCAGCTTCGTTGGCTTGCCTAGAATATTTAAAATGGGCTGGTTCGTCATGACTGTGCCCATGTCCGTGGTCGTGGGCATGGCCATGTTGTTGACTGAATCGCACACAGATTACCAACAATAACCCCAAAAATACGGGGAGAGCAATCGTCGTCCGCTTCCCTATGGAGGTCGCCATGTTGAGCGAAAGTGACGTGTTAACAATACGTGGCTTTACACGCGATTGTGTTTGTTGTGCTCGTTATCTCATCTGTAGCAATGAAGTGCCAGAGTGTCAAAGTGACGCTGCTTCTTTCTTTTTTTTTTTTTAGATTTTATTTCTATGTCTTTTTTTTTCAATTATATGTAGACATAATTTTGTTTTAACCCAATCTTTTGCTTGCTTATACGTTGTTAGCCCCGCACCTTAGGCCTATATCTAGCTATATACATATGCCCGTAGCTATTTGCTCCTTTTTTCGTTAAATATATACATGGAAACCAAAAATTCAACAAGTTCAAAAATGATATCGTTCTTTCATATTTCTCGTCAAGCTATATTTCCACTTCCTATATTGCTGTCTAGATGTAGACAGGAGTCTGTGCAATAATATAACTTTTTTTCTCTAAACAGAAATAACATTAACTCAAGTGAGCACCTGAAGAGTGAATTGGATTGCAGAGAAGAATGGACCTCCTAATAATCTGGAACAACACCGTCAAGATCTTTAAGAAGAAAGGGGCAATATTCTACTCCAGATTTAATGTTTTTTCTGTACCCTAACTCATGTTATATATGGTGCCCTACCAGGAATATATAAAAACACTATTTAAAAAGATTTACAGCTGTCAAGTGATCTTTTGTGAACAAAAGCACAGGGGGCAACCTTTTTGAGCGAAAGTCACATTAACTTACATTTTGATTTGATAAAGGTATAGTCATGTAAGTTTTTTGTAAATCAGGAGCATGCCTGCGGTTTGACCTTATTTTAAACAAGAATAATTATCCTCGAACTAGTGGCACATCTTTTGTAATAGGCTACGCAATCTTACCGAGTCTCAGTTTGAATATTTATTAGGGATTCAATGAATAACAAAATAATCTCTGATTTTATATACACAGACCTTGTTTCTAGTGGATTACCAACAACACTTACACAATGGCTGTAGCTAAATATTGCAGCTGTCTCAGTTGCCGATTTCTGAGAAAGTTGCATTTCTCTCCCAAGAGTCTGCTAGTATGTGTTCATGGTTTTATGGTTGGCATAATCATAATACTAATAGCTGTATTTTTCTTCAGTCACGGAAGTTATACTAGTAGACACACAAAGATAGGCCTATCTGGCATAGAGAAAGAGGGAAACTTTACAAACAATACAGATAGCGTGGGAGATTTTAATGCTTCACTGTATAGGGCGGAAGAATACGAAAGAAGCAAAAAGTCATCTGTAAAAATGACTGAAATTGGCGTCAATTTCTTTACTCCCGAGATTCTAGCAGGAGCTACCACAAAACAACAATTTCGAACCATGGATAAAATAGTCGCAGAGTTACAAAGAATGCTTCCCCTTCATACAGAATCTATGCAGAAGGAGCGTCTTGCACTTAATCCAACGACGAAAACATACGAATTTGACGGAAAACCATTTATCTGGATGTTCTGGGAGGGACGATCACGACCCGCCTTCGTTGATCTTTGCATTCTATCTACTATTTGTCAAAATCAAAACACTTACAACGTAAGAATAATGAATATTAGTGAGTTCAAAAGATCTGTTTCGTTCGTGCATCCCGGTTTTGATGGCTTAAGCTTGCCACATAAAGCGGATTATTTTCGTGCTGCAATGCTCGACGAGTTCGGCGGCGTTTACTTCGACACGGATACCATCAGCGTTAAAAGCATCGGGAAGTTGTACGAACATTTAGACACCTTCGATGTTGTCGGAGCGTCCTCTTATGTCGATAGTATTCATTTTGGAAATATGGGCCCCATGCGAGCAAAAACGCCTTTTACACAACGATGGTTGTCAGAACTTCATAAGAAATACGAGAAAAACGCGATACATCTTAGAAAGAAAGACCCCTTTCAATGGACAGAAGTGGGCGGAGGAATGGCGGTTCCCATTTTGGATATGCTTGTATCGAATAATATCGTCAAATATTACTTTTTGAACGGACCAGAATCTTGGATTCAGTTTAAACCAGAAAGCCTCCTGATTAAAAAGCCCGATATTGTCAAAACCATGAAAGATACTGAAATCGTAGTGTTAAGTAACTCTATATACCCCGTCAATTACAAAAAGATGTCCAAGCGGGAAATACTGCGTTCCTCGGTCGGGGTGTCGCAATTATTGCGTTATTCCTTGGCGAAGTGCTGGAATGAATTGCATACCAAATGAGGCACTATATCATTAAATCCAAAAATGGAATGCTTCCCCATGACTTTCGTAGAATAATGATTTTACAGAGCATTGACTGTGCGTTCATTTACATTTAAACGTTGTCAAATTTCCATAAGTTTACCTCATGCACCCATGAACAGCACTCTCTGCTTCCGCCACTGAAGACTGTATTTGCTCCAAAGAGCACACTAGTGCGTCTATGTTAAGATTTTTCTTTTAATTCTACAGGGTGGTCCAAAATGTTTCCATTTTTTGATAAAGTAGCATTTTCTGTTAACAGGAAAATGTAATAACCTACTTCACAGATACGTCCTACAGACATGTAAGTTTTTTGTAGTGTAAGTTTTTGCCTCGTATACCATCATTTTAAAGGCCCCCCGACAGAAAACAACCTAAAAGAGATAGGTTTGTAGAAAGTGCAGGCCAATGTCGGTCCGTACAATGGGAGACTTATCCCTTTTGGATATTGTTTTCTGTGGAGAGCCTTAAAAGATATTGTCAAAACCATGAAAGATACAGAAATCGTAGTGTTAAGCAACTCTCTATATCCCGTCAATTATAATTACAAAAAGATGCCCAAGCGAGAGGTACTTCATTCCTCGGTCGGGGTGTCGCAATTATTACGCTATTCCTTGGCGAAGTGCTGTAATGGATTGCATACCAAATGATGGGCTATATTCACTATATATATTTATATATAGTGAATATATATATATTCACTATATATAAATACAGGTATAATTCACTTTGACTGTTGAGGAATAAAACATTTTAATGAGCACTAAATGCACATTTAATTACATTAAAAGGGGTTACATTTATCATATTGCATTATACATTTTCTACCTGTATATCTTAATCACCGATGATTACAACTTCTACCCCCCCCCCCCCCCACTCACCTATCCTCTAGAACCCCCGCTGGGAACCGTAGTTACACTACAGAGTTTACACTTGGCGTTTAGAATACATTTTTGTTTTTTGCTAGATTAGAGTTCGCGTCACATTCAAAATAAAACTGCGGATAAAGCTCCTGTGTCAGACGACATTGTCTTGTCGACTAATAAAATGAAAAAAAAAGGTGTCTTAGAATTTTAAAATGTGACTGCAATTGCTCAAAACGTCTTATAACATGATATCGTGAGGTGCTACACAACGCTTCCTCCTTTCAGCGAAAAACATCGTTAAATTTCTCCTTGTTGGCCTTCAACCAAGCCTCAAAGGACGATGTTTTCGGGTTGAGTTTTCTGGTCAGAACGCTATCCCGGTCTGGATGACCCCGCTTAAAAAACTCGAACATAACGGCAAGGTCTATTGCTCCTATACGGCGACTTTTCTTCATCATAGCGTCGGTAGTCATCTAGTGCGAAAAGTAAATAAGTGAATGAAGAAGTGGGTAAATGATTGACAAAAAAGAATAAAAAAATCGAACAATATTTTGTAAAGCGGGAATAAAGTGGAATAGCAAAATTACAGCATCGCAATCAATCGCTATCTGCCACATCGATTCTTCAAAAGTTATTTCTTATTAAACAAAAATCCAGATGAAAAAATGTATACACCATTTTTTTAAATCATTTAATGACGCACGAATGAATTAACCATGAACAAGGAAAGATTAAAACAAACAAACGAGGATAAAAGCATGGATATCCGTACCTTAGCATCAGTGACTTGATTTGGCGCGAAAACCTTTGAAAAAACATCTGCATAGTGACTGACGGTCATGGACGTTCCACTCAGACCGACGAAACGGCCGAGATACTCCTTTGGCTTCTCTAAAATAGAGTGGACACACTCGCCTATATCATTTACGTCAATGGCGTCCATCATTGAGTGACCCATCGGGATTTCTGAAGAGAAAATGAGGATAGAGTTTATATACGATCCAGGAAGGGGTGAGGGGTTCTCGCACACCCCTGAACCAAGAATGATTCCTAGGTTTGGTTGTTAAAATATTAGTTGGAAAAACAGTGATGAAGAAAAACAGAACTTACATGTAACACGTAGCACGTTAGGTGCACATGACAGCTACCTAAGCAAAGCATTTTAATTGAGACTAGATTCTTCCCCGCTTGAGTTTTAATCTGTTTTTAAAATGCCTCGAAAGGCCTAATACACCCGAGTAATAAACCTCTCAAGAAAAATACTTAAGAAGAATAAATGGTTAAGAAAAAAAATGAACATAAATCCAAATTTATAAAAGGATAAAAAATGATTAACTAGAATAAATGACGAAGTTGTGCAAAAACACGTAACAATAATAAAAGGATAAAATAAAATTCATCGCAGAACAATAATAAACAGCCAGACAATTATCTGAATATCATATGAAAAAAGTGCTCCCCGTGAGCTCTGTGGAGGGTATGTGCCTGAGAGTATACAAGATTTCAGCTGTGTAATTGCATATGGCGAAGAAATAAATCATTTAGGATATATGTCATATCATGCGGGGTGCTGTTTGATTGCACGACCAAATTTAGCTACTTCTTTCGTTGATCTCCTCATGGAGATATCGATTTGACTTGAACATTACTCTGAAGGCAAGAGTCAACTACCCAATACCGTGGTCACAGCTGGGCAAACCTTAACCAGGCAAGATATGACGTCGCCAAAATACTTTGTGACGTAAATTTCACATAGGAAGTGTGATCTTTGGCTGCGTTGAGGGGGGAATGGGGCAATCCTTAATTCTGTACGCGTCTGGTTGCGTTGGTTGACTACAGGGGTGCTGGTTTGTGAACGCAGCCACAACAAAACATCTGCACGCGCAGTATGTTTGCAATAAGACAGGTATGTAGACTGAAGTTAGATCAAATTGCACAACAGAAAAGTAGTACAAAACCCCTGACAAATGGGATACGTCGATATAACAAATCCTACAGCTCCAGAAAGAAAGGGTAAACTGTTCAAATCATAATTCCTAAATTAATTAATTTTACGAGGACATTTTGGTACCCCATAGCAAGATGTTTTTATGATACATGTAACATGTAGACGATAAATACCATGTGTTTAAAATCCTCCATCTTCAGTTCGTTACATATTATGTGTGCGTTTCTATTGACGTGTGCGTTTCTTTGAAGCAGTCCAAGTAACTTTGGGTGATTCCAAGTGTTAGGCTTGAACAGTATGAAAGCAGTTTGTATTGCAAAGAATAAGGGCTCATTCCCAATGAATCTATTGTTCTACGTAGATCGATTCAGCTTCACGGGGACTCTCAGTGATTTCAATCAGATTAACAGATTAACACGCCTCCTCTTGTTTTCGACGTAGGAGGCAAGTTTCTCTGTTAATCTGATTGCATTCAGCGAGAGTCCCCGCAGAGTTGGATCGATCTCTGTAGAACGATATTTTCATGGGGAATGAGCCCTAAGATTATCTCACCACGAAAAACGTATCAAAGCTGCATCAGAATATCATAACTCAAAACTGATCATGACTTAAATAAAGGTATCTTAAAATACACATAAAATACATAATTACCGAGTACATATTTCCCTTCGTCTACCTTCCTGGGCGGAAAATAGGTCAAGAAGTTTTGATAGTAGAAAGACACTCGTATACCGGTAAAGGGTACACCCGACTCCTGCATGTATTCTTCTATCTACAATATCAATAATATCAAATAAGTTTAAAATAAATTAGAATGAATTAAAATAAATTAAATTCAACTGAACTGAATCAAATCAATCCATACATGTACCAGATTGCATATTAAAATTGAATTATTACTCCAAGTTTAATTCATCTTTCAACCATAACTTGCTTATCAGTACTGCGGTTATGTCTTATTTAATGCCGTGGCTTGTATTAACAGGCCTATAGATGGGATGAGGGGTGGAGAGACAGGGATTCACCTGTACTGTTACAATTTCTGGTGCAACGAAAATGTTGTTTAATGTTTAGGGCCATTAAATCTCTAACCTAAACAACTGTCACTGGTACAAGTATACTTAGTGAGTATGGCACTGATAAACCAACTCTATCAAACATGAGCTAAATCTGGCAAACTAGACAACACAGGGTACAGGTGTAGCTGAGTAACGTATTTATTCATGTGTGTGTGTGTCTGAGATATATACACCATGTCTACGCATGTTTTTTTGAAAAAGTTTTGACATTTTACTTGTTTGAAAGGGGGTACGTCAGATCTCGTTACAGATTACAAGTACATGCAATGGTGATTATTTTGTATGTATAACTCAACTTCTAAAAATCAAATAAGGTAGCATATTACAATGAATCAGTGTCAAGGTTCCAGCAGGTTTCATTATCGTTATTATGTATAAAAGTAAATGCGACCTACATAGGTCTGGTGCTATTCCAATGTAAGAAAAATAAGAAGACATAATTTCGAGAAAGCGTCTTACATTTCAGAAACAAATGGGTTAAATATCGAGATGTAGCAGCAGCCTCAATGATAACGTGTTGTGCACTTTTTTCCCCAGAATTAGCCAGAGATAAAGCTGTGAATATCTAGTGAAAAATGAACCTCTGGCCCTGGTAGAGGGTAGATAAAACGCATTTTTATCGAAATCGGGTTCTGGTAGACGCCCTGAATCTGGACGATTATGTGCACTCTCCTCAATACAAAATATAAAACTAAATATACAAAAGTACCCATTTCCGTGTTCTGAAAGAAAGATCTTAGGCGTTTGGTGCACACGCTGAGAGTCAGTGTTGGTAATTTCTGTATTACTTATGTGAGATTTAGGGTTCTAGTGGATTTGGTGCTACTTTACCTGTCCTTTGGCGTCAAAGTGTGGGCATTCTATCCCAATAATCTTCTGTATATATTCAAATCCACTGAAGATAAAGTGCTTTACGCCAGCGTCTTTCACGGCGTCGACTAGATTCTTACCCTGAAAGAGATACCTCAAATGATGTAATCAATTTGAATGTTTACGGGAAAAGCGGGATTGATGAATGAAAATGCTAGGTTATCAATCGATTCTCAAACAGGTCAGATGACTAAAACCTAAAAGGTGTTGCGCGAGTGTTTTAGCTGGTAATGTTGCCCATTTAAATGCCATGGAATTTTTATTTGAGCAGATATGTTGTTAGGATATATGCATGCATGAAGAACCCTTTCTGTGATTTTGGACTCATAAAATATTATTCGCGCAAGCTGTGCTAAATTGATGAGTTGTAATAGGCTGTGTCATGGAATGTTGACGTAATTCCTTCCCATCATCTTCAGTTGGCTTACATGTTATTTTCGACACCTGGGCTCTAAACCCGGCAAAATGAGTCCAGGGCCCCATATCGAAAGCATCGCAATATCACATAGAGGCAACAATGTATTATATTGGGCGAGTATGGGCGAATTATGGAATCGAGACGCTTGCGCTCGGTCGCAATGCGCGATGCTTTCGAGTTACGGGGCCCCTGGACTCTTTTTGCCGGGCAGCCGAGTGGAGGAGCTGCTCATGACGTCACGTGTCACCGCCCAATAGAAATTTGCATTAAAAATTACGGGATGGAATTTTACGGTAGGCCTACTTGAAGCAATGAGAGGCAGCTATTCCATTCAATACGCACAATGATCACTGTATACCACAAAATACTATTAACTTTAGATGGGGTAGACATCGACGGAACCTTACCTGTTGGATCTCGCGAGGGGGATCCTTGGTGTCCACCCAGAAGTTAGTAACACCGAAGCAAGCATAAGCGCCCTCTACCGCTTGGCGAACGCTGGCAGCGTCATCTAGATCTGCCTGTACAACTTCACAGCCTTAAAAAGAGTAACGAGTCCAGTGAATTCATCTACGATCGCAAGGAGGTGAGCAACACATGAAAAGCTCTTGTTCTTATCTATAAAAGATATATAAGTTGTGAGGTTTTCGTAAAAAAGTGAAAGGAGAGCCAAATTAATATCAACTTCATTTTTTGTCAGGTTCCGATTGATTTTATTTTGCATGGCATTGAATGATATTTCAACGTGCATCAATTTAGCGTGAACCCCCAGATAGTTAGGTCGATCTAGATGGATCGCTCTAAATCTATAGGAATGCATTCTTAGAGTTAACCAGCTTCATGTGGCTACAAAAGAGCACTGACTTTTGAACCAGCTAATCCTCTTACCCTTAGCCCGCAATTCCTCCGCTTTTTCACTTGAGGCGTCCCTGGTTACGGCGCGGACCTTGTAGGCGTGGTCCTTTAAGAAGGCGTTGACCACGGAGCCCCCCTGTGCTCCTGTGGCCCCGAATACTACCATCAGCCACGTGTTCGGCATCCTTGCCAGCTTAGCACATGGAAATAAAAAATGCTCTTTAAGTGTGTAAAATAGTTCTTTCTTTTTCTTTTTGGTGCTTAAATCGGTGCCCCTGGAACCCCCCTATCGATAAGATCCCCATTCAAGAGAGGAGTAGCAGTGGAGATGTGTATTTCTGGACCAATACCATTTCGGCGTCCTATATTTCCTTTTAAAGACACGCATGTTCATTTTGCTGTATACTGATCATTATGAAATACGTTAATGGAAACGCTCTTGTCAAGGATTCAATGATCAGCACTATTTTAAATTTAATACATTTTTCAGACGAGAAGTTCCTAGGAATGGAACTCCGAGAGGCATTTCTAGTTTTTTTTTCAATCAAGTTCCCTAGAAATTCAAGTGAATTAACTGTGGCGCCTGTACAGATGCTTGGAGGCATTAACCCAGTGATGAGGAATGGCATTCCTAAAATAAAGAAAACACTATAATTTTCTTTAACCGCCCTGCACGTTTTTGCCCTCCAAAACTGAGATGTACATCATGGACAAAAGTAATTAGAACTCCGTGAGATAGATCAGGCTGTACCCTGCTTTGAAACCAGCTTTGAATCCTTCAATCATTCGAGTTATCTTGAAGGTAATAAACAAGAAACTTCCGTCATGCACAACCCGTCGCATTTTGTATTAGCCCTGACTCTTGTTTTTAGTGGGATATGATGGTTAATCAATAAAAGTGGACGGTTCACCCCCTGCCACAAGACATATAAAGACAAGCTTAAGATAACATTAAGTAACACATGCCAATGTCAAAGTTATTTGATATAAACATGAGCTGGAAAAGAACGCTTGGTTCTGACAGGATGGAGTAAAGAATAAAATAAAATAAACACTCCGAAGTTCTCTGTAACAAGCAAGAATTTTATAATATGATAGCCGTCAAAATCCCCATGGAAACGACATGGAAACGATGTTAATCCTCACGATTTAAAAATCCTAAAAACGATGTTTTGATCAAATATGTCCTGAAAGTTTGTACGCAATCTATTCTTAGTAGCATTTTCAAAAGGATGCATATTATGCAATTCTGCGCATGCTGTCATTGGCAAACTTTTTTTCACCCTAAATCCTTGACAAATGTATACATTTATATCTATCTATATATATATACTTGTGAATTTGTAGAGCGATGATTTACAAGCGCACAAAAACTTCAAATAACCATTGCGAGGTATTATTTTCATATGTGAAAAAAATAATAAAACGCATGTATTCCCCCATCGCATTTTATGTTAGGTACATTGTAATAGACATCTTTTCACATATACACTTTCAAATAAACTTACCAGGAAATCGTACTGTTTACAAGTCCGTTCTTTCACACACTTCCAAATGCTCCTCGTTTACGCCAGGTGGTGGTGAAAACTGCGAGACGCACACCCGTTCTCTTCTAACTGCAAATTCTGTTTGAAAAGTATGTCATTTCACTCGATGAAACTCAATTGAGGGCAGGTAAAACACAAACCTCATGTAAACAAGAATGCCGTGTCTGGCTTGCATTACCTTGCAAGTGGATGTGTCAGAATGCGTTCCTTGAGCCGTATGAACTGCCCTGACCTGTGAAATTCTGGAAGTTCTGTTCACACTGCTATCGATCAGGGCACGACTGGTGCGATCCTGATCCGCATCTGCCTTGCTTTGCCTCTCTTGTGAGCTCAACATTTGGTTTGAAAATATTTTGAAACGCTTAATTTATCTAAAGAAGGACAAGTGCCGATCATCACTCTATGAGCTCATCTTGTTGTTTTGCGATCAATCTGTTGAACATGTTCATTAGCCGCGTGTTTTAGATAATCAAATAGTCTTTTAAGTTAATAGCTATAAAAAATTAAGTGGAATTTACCAGTCAACATTTTGTCTACTGACAGTCAGACTTCATCAGGGAAATGATGTGATACATTTACTACCCATCAGACTTATGGTGTGCAGGTTCAGTCAGGAACCCCCACCCCCACCCCTCCTCTGCCCGCGGGATAGAGGGCGGGTATGACCCCAGCCGTGGCGGAACAAATCCGAAACCCTGAGCAGAGTGAATTAGACCGACCAGACTATTCCAGTTTTCGCAATTTTCAGTAATGGAAGTTAACGTAACGATTAGCATGTGCACATCTTCATCTGAGCAAGATGAAAAAGGCTTCCTGTCAAATTATCAAATTTATGAAGGTGGGAATATCGGCCCACCAGCACTGCGGTAGAAGCCCTTCTTGATTTAAGTTGAGAGGGAAATGGTACATGTGTATTTCAAGAATAATATTAATATTTACGGAACGCTTCCTTCTTATTCATAAACTTGAACAGATTTTAAGCGTTTTCAACGTAGCGTATTCGGGAATATCAACAATATATGGTAAACGTTAACAGTAAACATGCAGAAAACAAGCAGCAAAGATAGTGGGAGGGAAGTAAAGGGTAACTCACGCACCTTTTTTCTCTTCTCTATCTCAGTGCTTAAAAAAACGACAAATATAATTGTAATAATTGTGCTTTTATTTCAATTTAATAGCACATAAAACACAATATTCGCAGCTTGAAAAGTTCGCTGTAATTTCCAAGCAACAACCTTCAATTATAGATATAGACATAAATTTCCGTTCCTGATAGATCCGGTCAGTTCCTCTCACCTGTCTCGCCCGTATAACCACATACCTGACCTCAAAGTTTATTAGAGAGTTTCCGGTGCAGTTGGGATACGACGGCTAGATTGTTACGTATGTGCTAATGTATCCAGTAACGCGCTTCTCTCTTCGCGTTCCGGTAATGTCCCGGAATGCTGGCGCTCATTCCAATATAATAATAACAATATACGGCCCCGTAGCCATCTACTTCCAAGGGGGGAATCTTTTTTATGAAAAAGGAGACAAATATTACCCAAAAGTGCAATTTTTCCCGACAAAAATGGCGGTTCGTAAGAACCCCACGATCAACCCCTGACTACATGCCTGATAAACCAAAACTAGCGGCTCCTCTCTGTTAAAAAGTCGAAATTTGCATGAACGTACACTTGAACTATTGTAAAAAAGTATATAAGTCATATAAATTAGCAAACATAACCTTTAATAACTATTTTCAATAATCTTCCGCACTGGCTAGATAGGAGCGCTTGTATTCCGCAGACTAGATAGGATGACGGTATATGAATGTGGTGAACGTCACAAGTGCGCACAAACCGATGACGTATTAATCTAGCCGGCGTATCTCACCGGCAACGGAAACTCTCTATTAACAAAGGTGTGCAAGATTGGCAGATCTTAGATATATCCGGCATCCCAATTAAAAGATGGGAACTGGTCAGAAATGAACTTTCTTAAGTGCCGTTCAGACAAGTACTGCTTCAGAGTGGGAGTAGGACAAACTCGTGTCCTCTTTCAGTTAGATTAAAGCAAGAATTAATACTTTCTAGTCGCATTGGATTCTCGCCACCATTCTTGACAGGTTACACTTTCTGCTTTAAACATTTTCCATCCTCAATATCTACATAGGTCTGGTAGTCCAATGCTAGTCTGTCAGTTTTCCAGACTAAACCACAGGAAGACTTCATCCAAGGGTATTTGGCCATGTCTGTAATCAAATGATCAGTGCCCAGAAATAACTGAAAACCCTAATTAATAACTTATACTAACATTTTACGTAGGCATTTACTGAACGTAACTCTACTTTTACGTAATTCTACTAAAACTCTTTTAAACAGGCTTTTGCAATCTATTTTTTGTTTCTGAATTGGCCATAAATAACTGTGTAGCTATTAAAGAACCCTGTCATCTGGATAAATGTAATAGCCACCTGACGTTACAGTAAATGGCATTCGGAAAAAAATACCACGCTTGAAGAGTTAGCTTTTAAATCCAACGATTTAAAGCATACATTGAGCGTGAAACCGTTGAGTGTATAGCAAAAAGTAAATTTTCTTAGAAACTTCAAAACACAGTTATTTTATCAATCTGGAATCAACCAAAAACTGTTGAAAAAATGACGATCTATAAATCTGCCTTTGTTTTTCACAAAAAGCATTATTAACAAATGACATTTTATTGACTAATTTCCATATGCCAAACAGTTTAAATAGTATATGCATTCTGTTGGTGTCTCACGAATAAAATTCACCCTTAGACAACTTATCATAGTTTTCAAGACCTTAAATTTGTAGAAACGATGTGAACTGAAATGATGGCCTGACAAGGAGAAAGCTGTTCTTTCCACATTTGTGTTAACGGCAAAATGCACAATTGCCGATACAAAATGCGACAGTTGTGACTGCTACCTTTAATCATGCCACAACCAGACATAGGTGAGTCGCATTTTGTTAGCATCATGTATACCGACCTATAGTTATGAGAGAGAGAGAGAGAGAGAGAGAGAGAGAGAGAGAGATTTGCTGATAACCAAGATATGAGATGTGTTTGAGAGTCATTAATACCCAATATTGCTCGAATTATAAACAGTGCAACTTAGACAGAAAAAATCATAATATTACGACAGAATGTGATTTTTATGTTTTCATTTAATATCTCCACTTTAGCTGATCCCAGTCTTAACTTAAATATCTTCAATGCTTGCAGCACGTACTTTCAATTTTTTTCTTTTTTCTTTCTTTCATTCTTTCTTTTTCATTAAAGTGGACAGAAATATCTTTTATTTTTTATATCATCTATCTGCGAGGAATGTCTCAGTGGCATCAAGCCAAACTGTGCCACGTTACTTTAGTGTACACAATGATAAGACCGTTTAAAGTCAACACAGAGAGTCGAGCGTTTTTCATCATCACAACAGCAGATTTCTAAACAAATTAGACTCGTTAATGCCGTGAAGAGTTATATCAACATAGAAATGCTTATCTAAACCGACCGAAGGCGTATTAATTTTCAGTTTTGACCGATCTTTTATGGATACAATGTACTTATTTTAAATGTTTTTATTTTCAAGTCCGTCACCTGTTGAAATAAACACATTTAAAAAGGGCAAGACCAGAGCATGCGCAGTCATGCGTTGCTACACGCGCTAGGACTAGTGGAAAAATGTTCAACGTCACCGGCTAATTAAACAGGTGAAGTAAAAGATGCCAAAATGAGTTAAAAGCTTCATTCTTAATATTTATAACATACAGCTCAAAGTAATATCCATCCAGCTTAAATACAGCATAGAATTACCGCGGAACTGTGATTTTTTAACAATGAAAAAAATTATATGACGTCATAGAGATTAATAATTACTCTTCCTGATATTAAGAATTAATTCATTCGTGGGTTCTCGTGCTTCCAGAATCCTACGCACATTAAACCAGGTAAGAAGCGCATATTACTGATTCTTCTATTTTCCTCATGGTGTTATCGTTTGGGAGGTCGAACTATCGATTGGAAGTCTAATTGTTACACTGTTGTTTGAGAATGTTTCCATTGCTGCGTAATCTGTTGAAATATATACAAACGACGCTGTAAGGTCTGTATCGAACGTGCGCAGTGGCGCGTGGTACGTGAATAGCTCCCATTTTGAAGAATTGAGTTCACACAAAGTTCTGGGTTATTAGGAAAGTGGAGTGAAGGTTGCCATTACGGATTAAAATACTCCGCGGTGGAAATACCAAATCTTATGCTGTCAAGAAAGACTGAAAATAGGTAAGATACGACGTATACCACTGGAAGGGTACTCCATAGAGACGTACCTTTAAGCAGTCTGTTAAGAACTTATATGTAATTAATCAAATACGTTTTCACTCATTAAGAGATCGGGAGACGCGCCGGGCCCCAAATGCGGTGGCAGACAAATCGTCATACAAAGTATGCGAAGTGAGACGTTTCAACGCAACCAAGTTACATTCAGAAGTTTCATCATTTGTTCCTCTTCCTCCTTATTTTCTTTGATTTTTATTAAAAAATCTCACACCTATCAAGTGCTAACACCGAAAAAAGACGCAAAGTTATGTATTTAAACGATAAATAAAAGTCTTTTACGATCTCACTCGAGCTTTTTAATATCATATAATTTGAAAAACCCTATCGAAGGGAGATTGATCGATTCGGAGAGAGATGGGGGACGTTAGAAATAGGCCTTAAGGTACGTGCCGACCATGCACTAAACGGTTGTTTATTGTGAGATTAAGAAAGGTTTAGGCAGGTGCAGGTGTGTTATTTTATTGTTACATCTTTAAAATATTACACCATACTTCTTCTTTATATGTAACGACTCAACAACACGAAACAGAAATTGAAATAATTAACATTCTACTTCAGCGGGAGTCTAGACGTTTTAGTGATGAAAAACCCAAAGCAACGTGACCCCTTCATAATAATTTCCCCTTTAAGAAAGCGACGCAGAAAGCCACTTCGACAACAACTCAGTCAATCGTTTAGTTGGGTCAGATGATTCGTATTCACGGCTAAGAAAGGGCCTTGTGCCTTAATAAACAATTCGTTGGTTAGTGTTGCAGATATCATTATGAACCGATTAAGGCGTGAAGGCATATTGTACTCAGCTACACCTCTCGTTGAATGAGTCTGTTTGCTCACTTCGGCCACACTTGGTAAAGTCAGAAAGTTTACCTCTCCTGCAGCGATGGTGATACGAGCTTGTGTCAAAGGGGAAGTTCACTTGTTATGTAGGTTACCAAGAGTTTGAATCAGTACGACAGGAATATATATAGCACAGTGCGACGGAATATCAAGTAACAACTAATTATACTAAGCGGCGTTTAGCCTACCCAGTACCAGCAACAAACTTTAATTTTTTTCTTTTTTTGGAACTTAAGATTCCATATATGTTATGTATTCATCAGATGATTTATTTTGCTCATATTTTCAAGCACTGTATACTGTGTATACTGTGTATACTGTGTTAGTACATGTATGTCTTGCTTGCTTTATACGTGTATCAGTTCAATCCTCTCCATCGAACTAGCTGTAGAGTAATCAACGCGCAGTGTGTAATGTAAACAGTGGGGTTATTAGACCTCTTATTTCGTTTTATCAGTATCGATCTCTCCGTAATGATTAACATGTAATAAGCGTATTGATATCGCCGACAACTTATTTCTAAGCCATTGATATCTGAAGACAATTACAAGAAAACGAACGTCAAAATCAAAGGAGAGAATCGACCCCCATGGAAATCAAAACGTGCTGTGACACACGCTAGAGGGCACACTCTAAAAACATGGGGCCCAAAACGTAATGACTTTTGGATGCAAAATGACTGTATCATATCTGAAAAGCACACCCGATGAGCACCTAGTTGATAAAAACGCTAGTGCCCGTTAAAAGCATAGAATCAAATTCATTGTTACCAAATTAACCCTTAAGCAATAATGGATGATCTTTTCTTTGTGACTTGACAATTATTGGTTTCACTTATAAATACACACCGAGAAGTTTAATAATTTAGGCATCGATTTGAACTTAAATCTAGGGTAAATTATGGACACACCCGCATTTTTTACAAAACGATTGAGGGAAGGTGTCAAGAAATCAAGTGCAGATTAAAAGAAAAAACATTGAACTTATATATATTGTGCATATCTTAACAGAATCCCCCCCCCTTTTATATGTTTCACTGAAAAATACTGACATTTCAGAAAGTCAGAAAAGCATCCTTTTCTATGAGGTTGATTCTGGGATGGGGGTGGGGGTTGGTGGGGGGTTGCCACATGCCCCCTTACCTTAGACAGCGCCCTCTTTTCCCCAATCCTCCCCAAAAAGTACAACGTACGAAACAAGACAAAGCTCCAATTTTCTCACCCCTGCTTACAATTTATTATATCAAAATACAAAATGGTCCTCGCGTTCTGTTTCATTATCCTGAAGTTTTACCTTAACCCCCCCCCCCCTCCCCCAATAGGCCTAACCAGCTATCTCCTTTGCAAACATCTAGCTGGTGTCCGTGGCAACTGCCATCTACTTCCACTCTGTGTCCCAAGTGTACGTCTAACTTGATCGTTCATTTTAACAAAGCCTATAGAATGTTAAAATCAGAAGGTATTGTATAGAAAGGAACCTTCAAGATATACACTGAATGATAATGAACAAATACCCATCGATCAAGAGTCATATGACACTGATTTTGAATGCGGGCGACTTTTGTTATAGCTGTCTAGTTTGATAACCTAGTTGATATAGCTAGTAAACAGGAGACGGACGTTTGAGCGAATTCTACCCTTGTTTATACTGGTGCTGCCATGGCAACACGATGTAGGAATCCTGCAAGATGCCAGAACTTTTTTGTTGGGGAGTAAAAAGAAACATGGTTTAAGGGCTTGTTGATATAATGCTGGCTGTAGATCAATACGTACATGAGCAATTGCCGATGCTCGCTACGCGCTAAAGAAAATGATTTGATTTTGAAAGAGGATGATAATGTTCAGTTCTTGATAGTGCCCCTGATAATATATAAGTTGCTCTCTGAGTGTCATATATAACTGTATATTTCTACGTTTTACAGCAGGTGTTGACGACATAATGGTGAAGGTGATAGCCGTCTTCTGCCCCACGGGGCGCCAGGGAGCCTCCGTCATCAAAACTCTGACCAGGGACCCAACTTACAAGGTCAGGGCGTTAACGAGAGACGCCAGCAGCACAAAAGCACGCGAACTTGCCTCACAAGGCCTGGAAGTCGTCCAAGTGGATTTAAACGACAGGCAAAATATTGTTAATGCCCTAAAGGGCGCTTATGGCTGTTACGTCACGACGTTCACTGATCTTAGTAACCCTTTTTGTGCAGACATTGAAGTTGAGCAAGGTATGAACATAGCCGATGCCTGCCTGGAGGTGAAGATCCAACATATAGTTTACCATACACAGATAAACATTATGAATGTCCTTGGGATTAACGCACGGAATATGGTGGCAAAAGCCCAAGTGGAGGGCTACATGAAGTCACGTGGTCTTCCTGTGACGTCAGTGATCATGCCGCTATATTATGAGGAGTTTTTTGATAGACTAAGACCGATGCGAGAAGGCCATGATCACTATAGTTTAGGTAAGTGTTGGCATCTTGTTACATTTCGATATTTTCATTTCATATTTCTAACAATTAGTGTTTGAATGAAAGTTAAGAGGTCGATATGTTTTTGTCTCCATTATCAGTAAAACAACATTATGGTTTTCAATTAATAATTTCATCCTTAGATTGAATGCCGAAGATAGTAAGCATTTAAGTCGAGTGGGAAACTGATACTGAGTAGTATAATGGAAAGGAAGCAACTTTTGAAAGCATTTAACACTGAATGCGTGATCCATAATAATTTATCTTAAAGATTTAAACACAAGTTTACGCGCTTAACTAGCAGCTACAGTAAATGCACGATTCGTAAATGTTTTCAATTACGCCTAGAGTACGTAGGGGGATAAAAATCAACATCGAATCTCACTTAAAAAAAACAACTGACTCAATTTCCGTGTTCCTTTTTTATTTCAGTGATACCAATGGGCCACATCCCCCTGGATATGATGAGTGTTGAGGATCTAGGCCCCGTGGTTCACCAGTTGTTTAACCATGCCGGACAGTTTATGGACAAGACAATATCACTGAGCGGAGAGAAGACAACCATCAAAGAAATGGCACAAATGTTCGGCAGACAGCTTGGGAAGAGCTTCATAGACAAACAAGTAAGTTACATGTTTCGAGTATTATTTATTGTATGTGACATATAGATCTCGTGTGAAAAGGTCACCTACTCATCAGTTATAGTTTTGTTTTGGAGTGCTATTTTATTTTAAGTGGGCAAGCAAATAATTAAAATGTTTTTTCTTACTTTAATTGTCCTTTTCTTTATTTCACATTTTAAAGTTTATTGAATATCTTTAGAGTTTACACTCTAAATATTATTATTATTATTATTATTATTATTAGGTCACCGTGGAAGAGTTCCGAAATTTAAACCAAGGACAGCCGTGGTCACGTGACTGGGCCAACATGTTTGATTTCTTAAAGCGCGTGGACCAGACCAACAGCGTCACACTGACACGGAAACTAAACCCGAACCTGCGCGGTCTTGAGGCCTGGATCAGAGACAATAGAGCTGCACTGTTGCAGTCGTTGTGCCATTAAGCAAGTGATATGTGGGATTTGAAAAAAAAACTGATACTTGGAGAAATTACCCTGTGTTTCATGGACGACACGTGCCCAAGGCTTCTTTTTTGCACTTTCATATGTGCCCGCTAGTACCAATAATCCTTTGCGTGAGGAGATATGAAAATGGAAAAGCGAAACCTGGCACGCGTCGAACTTAAGCCTAGGACAGGTGAAACATGTTTTTAAGAAGGAATCAGTGAAGGACGTTCAGTTTACAAGCAGGCTTACGGCACCTCCAAAGCCTCAAGAATCATCGAGTCATCGTGCAGCAATGGCTACTTTATCAAGCAGAAGTCATCGGATTTGAATGCAGATTGCAGTTAAATATTGCTCAAATAGCAGACAATTTGCCCACATCTGACAAAGCGTTTTTCTTTAACTTGTAGGCCTACACACACCGCCTGGTCGAGTTACTTATTCATTTTCTAGTTGGTTTAGATTTACTAGTAAGCCTTATGTAATACTTTTTCCGGTAGGTTTCTTCATGTTGCGTCTTCGTGAATTGTAATATTTTTAATACATTTGACTAATAAGAAATGTTATCAGTAATTGACGCACCTGTCAGTTATTAAGGTGCAGGTTTGCGACATTGTAATCAAATTTGGACAGTTTCTCTGTCACTGAAACATACGGAGAAAGTGCCTGCGCATTTCATTTCAGAACACAGGATTGCGACCGTGGTCTATTAAACGTCCTTATATTTAATTTTATTCTATCTGATGAAAACATCCTATTGATTAGCAGGTTATACTTTTATTGGTTAGAAACAGAGACATTTTACCATTGAGATAGAACTTAGTTTTTCAAATATGTAAATGCGCTTTTCATATTGTCAGTCAGTCATTTACGCGAGCAGCATTACTACATTTAGCGCTCTTTTACGGCCGATAATCTGTAGAGTCAATTCTTCATTTACTGAACCAACGCAAAATGGTTGACAAAAGTTTAATCAAAATGTATAAATGTATTTGTAAATAATGTCATGTTACGGTATGTGAATGACGTAACTTTGATACTTGGCGTGCAATCACTTTGTTACACTTGCTCAAAAAATAAACTGTTTTTACACAAACGACTTTAGTTATGGAGTAGGTACTCAGTGGCTGAGTTAGAGGGGGGGGGGTCAGGAGGCCCTCCCCCCCCCTTCGATTTCTGTTCCCCTCTTGAAATTAGAATTTTGACTAGCTGAATCAAATTTCTAAACCGTACCAAATGGCACCGTTCACCCTCTGAAATACCAACATTTTTCAGGGCCCTTCAGCAGGCCCCGAGCCCCACGCCAAGGGGGGGGGGGGCATGCATCCACGGACCCCCCTTCAAATAATCCTGGATACACAAGTACCACAAGTACCCTGACAAGTATGACTCGCAAGTATTTGTAGTCCATTATTATACTTATCGAAAAGTAAGGCAAATGGCATAATAATACACCTACCCGAGATATAGTTAAAGATCTATCTTTCAGACCACACAGTGACCACAATCTTAGGTGAACTTGGTAAAACGTGCTGACATTAAAAATGATTTCCTCCTGTGTTCATGTGTGAAAATATAATCGAAATTAGTTTCAGTGCAGTAAAAAAGCATATGTAATGCGCTGTTTTCACTTAATCCCTTTAATGATATGTTGTAGACTTCCTTGTAAAGTCGTAAAATGGTATTTTCTTAACCCCCCTTTACCTTACACGTTAATACTGTCAGCAGAAAATGTAAAATTCAGCGGAAATGCACATGTTGTACTTACACACAATCTTAAAAGCATTTCTATTTTCTCAAGATATATTATTACTATACAGCGTCATTAAGCGTACGCACGTGGTGTGCAATAATCGTGAAAAATGAATACAGACGCAGAGCAACACAAAATGCAAATAAATAGATAAATATATGAATGAATAAAATATTTATCATGTTTGCATGAAAGCTGAGTACTAAGCCTTGGTCACTACGCATTTCAGCTAGGACAGAAGGTAAAAATGCTACACTGGAGACAAAAACAGTTGTGATACTAAGGCTCTCGTGGGTGTCTAAAAGACGATCTTAAGATAAATAATAATCTAAATTACTATATGTACCGCGTTCGGATGAAGCTGCAACAAAATCAGTTCTGTGTCTAAATAATGTCAAAAGAAGACGAGAAATAAAAATCGACATAAATACATGAAAAAAATAAAAAGATGAATTAATAACTTATCAAAAAAATAAATAAAATAAAGTCAAAGAGTGCACAGTCATATCTCGATAGTCTTTGTTTTTGTTTCCAGAAAAACCATACTTCATTTGTGTTTAGGGTATTACCAAGTCCCGTTAAGCAATAAATGAATAAATCAATTAATTAACTATTTTGAAATAAAACTTTCCCTCAACGCACTGTTTATTCTGAAAGTCTTAGAGAACAGACCGAATACAAAGCTGTGCGTGGTCGTCATGACAACCAGGAGTCTGGGTCCCCGGGGTCTCAAGGGAGGCTTACGGTGAAGCCAAGTTGGTTAAAGATTTGTTGAATGCTCAGGTTGAACACCTCCGAAGCCGTGATCAAATTGGACCCGGTCACGTAGAGGAGGAAATCTATGGTCGGAACCTGCTGTGGACCTGGAGTAGGTAAAAAAAGAAGCATCATTTCCCATTTTACACTATTTTTTAAAGTTTGAATTACCTAATTATTTGTTGATAGAAACAGACTTAACGTGTTGTCTACAGTATATATGACGCATGATGTTTCGACCTTTAAGTGAAAGTCCTTGGTCACTTAACTGACTTGTAGACCTATTTAGCAGTAATTAATTTCTCTCTATAAGTCAAAAGATATATAGCTTCGAGAATACTTTGATGAGAACCCGTGCTACCAAAAGCGATATTTATGAATGTTTCTCACCGTAACACACTTAAATCCTGAAAAGCAATGTCGTTAATAAAAACCCAATTACACGTTTGTGTAATAGAATAAAAAAAGAAAATTAAAAGATTACTCAAGACCCCAAATTATATCCATTAAAAGAGTACTACAGAACACCAAAATATTTGGCAACAAAATTTTTGACAATTCGTATGACTGATCCTCAATTAGATCAGCGCATGCTCACACCACTGACCTGTAGTGGGCAGGACACACTGTCCGGACACTTCATCGCACCTGTGTAGAGGATACATTTGGTAGACCAGGGAATAGGCCACGGGGAAGCCGTCCCCCAGGGTGACGTTATTGCTTACCTCGGAAGGAAACGTCGACGAGCAAATAATTAAGGACACCTGGTAATTAAATGAAAATAAAAGATTTTTTTGCAGGTTGGCTCAGTTAATACTGCTTGAAACACGCCTACTAGTACAAATAAACCTTAGATTAATGCCAAGGGTGACCAGTCTGCATGTTGGAATAATTGACTAGGATGTATTCCAACGTTTGACAGGTGAAATAAAATCAGAAAATCCTCCCAAACAAAATTGACTGGTGCTTTGTAACAGTGTACATGTAAACAGAAATGCAATATAGCCTAATACATTAAAATGCACGCTTGGTGTCAGCATCCCTGATCCCATCTCCAATGTACTAGCTTGATTTTCACAGAAATGTACGCTACAGAAATGAGATACCCAGGTATTTAATTTAAAACAGTTGCTCATATGTTAACTTTTTAAAATTGATTTTTGAATTTAATATTTTAGCGTCACGTATATTTTGTTCAACGTGGGTGCAATTGCGTAAATGTTAATTTCTAGTTCATGGTTGATAAACCTTTTTTATGTGTGCGTAAACAAAAAGGGCACAGAGAAGATTCTAAATATGCTCAGATGTCTTAATTGGTCCTATAGACCTAGGACCCATTTACTATCTCCTGTCTCATTTAACGCTCACTTACGGTTCTCAATCTATTCTAATGTTGTTCGGTAATAAATGTAACAGTTCGAGAACTGTTTTTGGGAAGTCCATCAGAATGTCCTAGAACAAATTAAGAACATTTGTCATTGAAAGAGGAAAACATTATGTTCTTGGGCAGATCGAGAACCGTAAGTGAGCGTTAAATGAGGCACATTTTAGCAGGAGTCTAATAACCTCTAGTCCTAGTTCCTGGGTCCTAGTTTATCACCTGTTATTACCTGTGAAAGAAGGAGGAGAAGTGACCTGTCCGTAAAGCCGCTACCTATTAGTGCCCCTATCACACCTGAGCAGTCCGCAGTCTGCAGTAAGCAGTCCTGGTCAGTCGTGCACGTCGTTCCAGTTACTATGATTAACAGACAGATATATAAATAAATATACATATATAAATATGTGGCTAGGAAGATAAGGTGAACAGATAGATAATGTATGAATTAATAAATGAATTGATAAATAATGAATTTATGATCAGTGAATTAATGAACTGGGAACTAAGGGAAGAAGGAACAAACGAGTTAATGCATGAATGAATGGGAACGGTGAATTGGTGGACAGATAATGGATGAAACGGTTGAATGAATGAATAAATGATTGATTGGGTTATTCTAGTGAGCAATTATGATAAACAGCACAACGGTGATGGACCTACATGTCAAAAAACTTTCAATAGACTGTACATGTTGTTTGAACCAACCCAAGAACCCGAAAACCTGCTCCCAAACACTCGTTTTAACTCATCCCCCTTTAAACCAACCAAACAAACAAACGATCAATCGAGCACTTGCCTGGGGCACAAACCACCAGCTCGGCGTCGGGGACCCTGACAGGGTAGAGGCCCGGTAGACACACGCAGGTCTTAAAGCTCGGGGCGAACAATGTCCACGGGGTGAAGGCGCACAACGATCCCTCGGTGCAGACTATCCCCAGGTCGTCGCTTGCACTGGTACAGTCTGCCAGGGCGTCTGAAATATATGGATTCGATATTTTAGTGGTGGGGTAACCGAATTACAGATATAAATGCAAGTCTATAAAAAAAGGAAATTTAAAAAAAGGAAAAAAAAAGCGCCTGTATTGTGCAACTTTGTTGTGGTTCGTCACTTTTTAAAACTTTTCGTAGTGAAAATTTCGTTGCTACTTTGCAGATATTTGGTAGATAATTAATGAACAGCCACGTAAAAAAACTTACTTAGTGTCGTCACAGAAATACCGCCTTGGGTTTTATATATTGCATTGTAGAAAATCCCAACGAAAAGAAACGTCGACGCCGCTATTGCCCTCATGCTGCTGTATAGTAGTGAAGATACGGGGACGTTGAAATGAAAAATAAGACAGAGGCAATGTTGTTTGTGTTTAAATACGGCGGCATATCTGAAATTATGAATATAAGTGTGTGGTAATTTATTTTTTCTCTTAAAATAATATGATGATTACGGTAATTTCACGACTGGCGAGACCAGTGAGTAGGACTAGGTGCTAGTCACGTCCTGACTGCGGTTTGGTCATTTCCTTAAAGAATGCTTGAATATTCTCTGTGACTAGTTCTTTTAATTTCACACTCACTGGCTTTGGTTATTTGAGAAGAGAAAATATGTCAATGGATCCCAGGAATGAAAATATAAAATTGAATATAGAATGAAGGTTAACAAGACGAAGATAAAGAACAGATTTCGAAGACGCTTGGTGCCTAATATTTATATATCTGTTTCAGATTTATGTCTAATATTTAGCTATTTCAACTAAAATCAGTCGGATTAAACAATAAATTACAAGACTATTGAAATGTGAACCGCCAAGAAAAAATCAACAAATTACAGATGAAGCAAGTCAAAGTAAAAAGTAGGCCAGTACAAATTATTTAGCTTGTTACATGACTTGCAATTTCTAATGTTTGAATTATTATTATTCGAAAAAATCGTTAATGTATAATGGTTCTCAGTTTATTTTCCCTCTTTTTACACAAGCACGGACACAGGCACGCACGCGAGCGCGAGTGTAAAAAAGGGGTGAGATATTTAGTTGATATTCATCGCAAAATGAAAGACATTCCCATACGTGGGTATCAAAGCGTGGCCACAAGGAGGCATAAATATATATAAAATGACCCATGCGATATTATCAGTAGGTAAAGACTGAGAGATTAAAAGTCCTGGCGCTTGACCCGTCCTTTTCTTCGCACATATTTAACTAAATATGGCACAGGCATAAGCCGGTACCCGGGACCAGTTTATCTTGAGCATATCATAAAGAAGGAGTAGTATCTATAAATAATTCCTTTGCTAATAGTGCCAATACCTCTGACATGTAGGAAAATACGGTTACAATAACATATGAATCAAAGGTCTGGGAGTATATCAGTCTTTTTTGTCGTGGGGCTATTTTCGTCCACTCTATATTTTCAAGATCTAATAAAACGAACTCTTAGAACATAACTGTAGGTTATTCTGTACCCTGAGTCTCTGTTCTCCCAAATAATATAGTTTGTCAACTAGGATGAGTAAGTCTGGTTCGAATTCGACAGTTCACACTGGTGGCAAACAGCTCCATATCAAGCCGCCGTGAAACTCAGGGCGCATATTCTCAGTAGTGTGATGAACAGTTAAAACTGACCTGCGCTTAACTAAATTCAAAAAAATGAAATAAGTTTATTCGTTATCACCTTTATCAGAAATCAAGGAAGATAAAAATACAGTATGGGGAGATGACCTTACCAAAATATCTGGCGCTATATGGACAAGAGCGATAAATGAAGAAACAGATGAATAAACAAGACAGTCTTTTATTGAAACATTCCAGTGAGGAGATCTTCCAAATGTACTGATTGAAGTTCTGGATTTACACTGAGGTTTAGAAATATTTATGGATACAGAATGCAACTCCGTAATCATTTTACACTGTGTTACTGTATGCACTGTCACCAGCAAGTGACGACTATCGAACGCCGTCAGAAGAACATTCGATTACAATTTATAATGCCACCAGACTTAAGCTACAAATGTAGGATTAGTGGGATTAAGTTAGTGGGGAAACGAGTAACGTGAGTTAGGTGTGACAGTAACATCAGGTATGTAGTTAGACATGTCAGGATTAAGACCCGTTAAGTGTGTTAGGTGTGACAGTGATATCAGATATGTAGCTGCAAACGTGGGAATCAAGACTTGTAACGTGTGTTAGGTGATCACATGATTTAGACTGTTAGATTGTGGTACTATGACAGATGTGACACTGTATACGTAAACAGAGAGATTATCTTTTGAAGTGCTTAAGAATAAATCTTTAATATGTAACTTTCCATCCCCAACAGCCTCTCTACACAGAATAAAGGTCTTGTGCATGTATATATAAAACACGATGATGGCGTACGCAAATTCAAAGGGGTGGTTATTTTTCTAATAAAGTGGACCTTTTACAATGAAGCCTATGTGTACCTTTTCCTGGCAAAAACGTTCGAATCCCCCGAACCTCCCCCCCTGGCGACGGGCCTGACCCTACACTGTAGCTTGAGCCCAACTTATATACACTTCCTTCAACTTTTAAGATAACACTTCGCTTTTATGTTTAAACTCAAAACATTAAGCCAAATACCAAACACTGGGCAGTATTCGCGTTGAAAAATATCCTGATATGATATGCAAAACGACTTGTATTCGAGTGGTATGACAAGAAACCAGTAACCATCCCGTGATATAGGGTCAGCAATTGACTCAATTCAAGTTTGACCTGTGACGTACCTGGAAAAAGATAGAGTTCAATGAGCTTACCCTCGTCAACACCATTTTGAGGTCTTTTAAGTGAAGAGAAAGGAAGTATTATTGACGATGCAGACTTGATGATAATGACCAGCAAAAAGTCGATGTCAAATCGATCACTTATTGTAAACTATGCCGTTCTTTCTGCAAAAGGTTCATATCAAATCGCCGTATTTATCGTTAAGAAATAAATCTACTAAAAAAGATGTAAGATCTTCATAGATGCATCTCTGTAACAATAACTATTTTATTAATGATGCAAAAGGTAATTTGCGCAGACCCACGATAGCCCGCATTCGTTCCTGTGGCTTTCCGGTCCCATGGCCAGTTCGACGTCGATGTTGTGGTGGACTGATGTGCGTCATCTGGGATTCGAACCCGTGACTCTACGTCACCATGTTTGTTGACGGTTTTGCATTTGTTTTTTGGAGCCTTGCACGCTACCGACTGCGCCGTGACTGAGCCGCCCACCCTCCGTACCTACGAGTTTCCTCTTATAGTAACCAAACGCAATTTTTGCAAATTATTTCTGGAAAAAATTCCTTCGTCGCATTCTCGTACTCGAACCCGCGTGTGAGTGTCTACCTGTGTCCAAGTCGGCGGAGTTACCACGGAGCTAGGCAAACTTGGTCGGCCGACGTGTGATCAAATGGAAACTTTCTACCTTCTCACGGAGAGGGCCAGTTTGGATATACACGTATATATATATATATATATATATATCTGCAGTTACGATCGATAGCCTGGGTGCTGCATTTCTTTCCGAGCCACGCCAGGTCCCGAACATGGTCATCTCATGAACATTGAAGCTCATCATGTCCACTAGACCTTGTTTGACAACCTGGAACGGAGCGTTCCTACATAGATGAGTTTTTTTAACCATCAGTTAGTGAGACACTGTTTGCTTCACCTATGGCGAAAAAAGTCACAATGGTATCAAAGGCGGTTCTCACCGGGACGGTTTTAGTTTAAGCAAGAGGGAATAGTCAAAACCGTTCAAATGTGTAAAGGCTGGTGCGCTTTCCATTCTATAAATTGCGACGATGCAAATTTTGAAAAAAAAAAAAAAAAAAAAAAAAAAAAAAACACATCTGGCAAATAACTCCACCCACAAGATAGCATCTTTTTCTGTTGAATGCAGTTTACGGGCGAAGTGAGGTGGTGCTACTGTATACCGAGAAAGTAACGGAATCATTTCGACTTCGGTCGCTTTTATTGATAAGCCTGCCTGCAATGTTCCTAACTATATGACTTCAAATGCTTTTATTTTCATTTTGTGTTACACTGAGGTCACATTTGACTTCACACGAGGATTTATAGAACACATTGAGATCCAAAGCGGTTCACACCTTGACGATTTTAGTTTTGAGTAGTTTTTGCCATTTGAAATGCAGACTGTGGAATTGCCCCGGGGAATGTTTGACCATACACTGTACGAACAGTCTTGATAAGCAAAGGGCATTGAAAAGAATGTATGAATGGGTAAAGCAATAGCGATAACACTTCTTTTAAACTTTTCAAAAAAAAAAAAAAATAATAAAAAATAATAATAATAATAAATAAATAAATAAATAATAATAAAAAAATTAAATAAAAAATGAAAACTTTTCTTGCAGAAAATAGCACTTTTCGATGAAAGGGCAGTATGACATGCATGGCGTATTGTCGAGTCAGCAATTGACTCAATTCAAGTTTGACCTGTGACGTACCTGGAAAAAGATAGAGATCAATGAGTTTCCTCTCGTCAGCATCATTTTAAGGACTTTTAATTGAAGAGAAAGGAAGTATTATTGACGATGCAGACTTGATGATAATGACCAGCAAAAAGTCGATGTCAAATCGATCACTTATTGTAAACTATGCCGTTCTTTCTGCAAAAGGTTCATATCAAATCACCGTATATATCGTTAGGAAATAAATCTACTAAAAAAGACGTAAGATCTTCATAGATGCATCTCTGTAACAACAACTATTTTATTAATGATGCAAAAGGTAATTTGCGCGGACCCACGATAGCCTGCATTCGTTCCTGTGGCTTTCCGGTCCCATGGCCAGTTCGACGTCGATGTTGTGGTGGACTGATGTGCGTCATCTGGGATTCGAACCCGTGACTCTACGTCACCATGGTTGTTGACNTCTAAAATGACCCATGCGATATTATCAGTAGGTAAAGACTGAGAGATTAAAAGTCCTGGCGCTTGACCCGTCCTTTTCTTCGCACATATTTAACTAAATATGGCACAGGCATAAGCCGGTACCCGGGACCAGTTTATCTTGAGCATATCATAAAGAAGGAGTTGTATCTATAAATAATTCCTTTGCTAATAGTACCAATACCTCTGACATGTAGGAAAATACGGTTACAATAACCAGGCCTTCCCAACTACCAGACTCGGCACCTACGGGTCCAGAATAAACCGGTATATCTGACCACACTACCCGTTTTCAAGGTGTGTGTCAGATCGCATAAAAGAGTATCATACCATATCACAAATTCTGTAAGCCTACCTGTCATCCGGGTATTGCGCCTCGTTTTCATCAAGTAGGAGTCGTATAAATACAACAGACGACTCCCTCAATCAAGGAGTGGAAACGCGCTACTTATATGATTAAGACGAGCCTAGCCGTCAGTACCGGTTATTGTTTTGTGACCTTGAGGAGCAATTAGGTTTGGTCGTTGCGGCACGCATGAACAGTAGTTGAACTACCACACCTGGGTCTTTTGTTTTTGACAACTGTTCACTCGTCATCGAGGCGCTTGTTCAAGACTACAGGCTGATATCTACTAGTACTACCAGTGGCTTTATTAGTAACGTTCCCACAATACTTAAGTTTTCTGTCCGTGCGTACAAACCCTGAAAAAGGACAGCCTCGCTGACAAGAACAATGGACGTTTCTCACCCCTCTCTGCCCTCAATCTCGTCCATCCCGGTAGTCATGAAAATATTTAACCCCCGACAGAATATGTTTCCGCTATCAAAATTAGGTCTACTTTTCTAAATTAATATATAAGTTTGCAAGTTCTTATTTACAAAACATCATTGGCTATGTCCGAACCTAAATTTTATGTTAAAAAAATTGCGGTACTGTCAGATTTTAGCATAAACAGAGAAAATTGGAGCAGCGCATGAATCTAGATGAGATGCACTACTTTCCAACCCCGCTTAGGATCATTGCTATCACATCGCGCACCAGGCAAAATCGGTCTGGTGGCTGATACTCTGTAATGCGATCTGACACACACCTTGAAAACGGGTAGTGTGGTCTGATAAACCGGTTTATACTGGACCCGTAGGTGCCGAGTCTGGTAGTTGGGAAGGCCTGATAACATATGAATCAAAGGTCTGGGAGTATATCAGTCTTTTTTGTCGTGGGGCTATTTTCGTCCACTCTATATTTTCAAGATCTAATAAAACGAACTCTTAGAACATAACTGTAGGTTATTCTGTACCCTGAGTCTCTGTGCTCCCAAATAATATAGTTTGTCAACTAGTATGAGTAAGTCTGGTTCGAATTCGACAGTTCACACTGGTGGCAAACAGCTCCATATCAAGCCGCCGTGAAACTCAGGGCGCATATTCTCAGTAGTGTGATGAACAGTTAAAACTGACCTGCGCTTAACTAAATTTAAAAAAATGAAATAAGTTTATTCGTTATCACCTTTATCAGAAATCAAGGAAGATAAAAAGACAGTATGGGGAGATGACCTTACCAAAATATCTGGCGCTATATGGACAAGAGCGATAAATGAAGAAACAGATGAATAAACAAGACAGTCTTTTATTGAAACATTCCAGTGAGGAGATCTTCCAAATGTACTGATTGAAGTTCTGGATTTACACTGAGGTTTAGAAATATTTATGGATACAGAATGCAACTCCGTAATCATTTTACACTGTGTTACTGTATGCACTGTCACCAGCAAGTGGCGACTATCGAACGCCGTCAGAAGAACATTCGATTACAATTTATAATGCCACCAGACTTAAGCTACAAATGTAGGATTAGTGGGATTAAGTTAGTGGGGAAACGAGTAACGTGAGTTAGGTGTGACAGTAACATCAGGTATGTAGTTAGACATGTCAGGATTAAGACCCGTTAAGTGTGTTAGGTGTGACAGTGATATCAGATATGTAGCTGCAAACGTGGGAATCAAGACTTGTAACGTGTGTTAGGTGATCACATGATTTAGACTGTTAGATTGTGGTACTATGACAGATGTGACACTGTATACGTAAACAGAGAGATTATCTTTTGAAGTGCTTAAGAATAGATCTTTAATATGTAACTTTCCATCCCCAACAGCCTCTCTACACAGAATAAAGGTCTTGTGCATGTATATATAAAACACGATGATGGCGTACGCATGCCCAGTTCGACGTCGATGTTGTGGTGGACTGATGTGCGTGATCTGGGATTCGAACCCGTGACTCTACGTCACCATGGTTGTTGACGGTTTTGCATTTGTGTTTTGGAGCCTTGCACGCTACCGACTGCTCCGTGACTGAGCCGCCCACCCTCCGTACCTACGATTTTCCTCTTATAGTAACCAAACGCAATTTTTGCAAATTATTTCTGGAAAAAAAATCGTAGTCGCATTCTCATACTCGAACCCGCGTGTGATTGTCTGCCTGCGTCCAAGTCGGCGGAGCTACCACGGAGCCAGGTAAACTTGGTCGGCGGATAGGTGATCAAATGGAAACTTTCTACCTTCTCACGGAGAGGACCAGTTTGGACGTACACGTATATATATCTGCAGTTACGACCNCGGTTTTGCATTTGTGTTTTGGAGCCTTGCACGCTACCGACTGCTCCGTGACTGACCCGCCCACCCTCCGTACCTACGAGTTTCCTCTTATAGTAACCAAACGCAATTTTTGCAAATTATTTCTGGAAAAAAAATCGTAGTCGCATTCTCATACTCGAACCCGCGTGTGATTGTCTGCCTGCGTCCAAGTCGGCGGAGCTACCACGGAGCCAGGTAAACTTGGTCGGCGGATAGGTGATCAAATGGAAACTTTCTACCTTCTCACGGAGAGGACCAGTTTGGACGTACACGTATATATATCTGCAGTTACGACTGATAGCCTGGGTGCTGCATTTCTTTCCGAGCCAAGCCAGGCCCCGAACATGGTAATCTCATGAACATTGAAGTTCATCATGTCCACTAGACCTTGTTTGACAACCTGGAACGGAGCGTTCCTACATAGATGACTTTTTTTACCATCACACTCAGTTAGTGAGACATTGTTTGCTTCACCTATGGCGATAAAAGGCACAATGGTATTAAAGGCGGTTCACATCGGGACGGTTTTAGTTTAAGCGAGCCCCTATGAAGAGGGAATCGTTCAAAAAAAAAAAAAAAAAAAAAAAAAAAAAAAAAAAAAAAAAAAAAAAAAAAAAAAAAAAAAAAAAAAAAAAAAAAAAAAAAAAAAAACATATCTGGTAAATATCTCCACCCACAAGACGAGAAAATAGCTTTTTTCGATGAAAGGGCAGTAGGACATGCATGGCGCTATATCCGTGCGCTGACAACTAAAATTCACGCGACTTTTTGTTTTATATGTCTGGTTGAATGAAACAGTATGCCATTTCACCGAACAGAAAACTATATTCAAGAGTAATTGAAATAACAAAGGAGAGAAATTGAAAGCTGGTAATAAGTGCATTACTGGTATCTATTGGAATACCATGCAGGTAAAACCTTGTTTCGACTAACGTTGTTGATATTTCTTGTCTCATTCTTATTAATAAATAAATAAATAAATAAATGAAATCTAATTAGAAAATGATTAATTTTTTTTAAAGATGGAAACCATAGTTTTTTAAAATCTTTTTTAACGGGCTAATGTAAAATTAGAAACAACTCCATGAGGGTTGTCACGCTTAAATTACTACAGGACTTTCCAAAAGCAAACTGGAATTATCTTTGGATTGTCTTTAAATCAGCGCATGAGTCACATGATTGATGAAAAAACATACTTGCCAATTGCTAATAAAACACAAACTCTCTTTAATTGATGCATGTAACAATGATCTGATTTTAGTAACAGGTAATAATATTTTCTGTATTACAAACACATTTGTAACACATTAAGGACAATACAAACAGCAAATGTAAAAACGTAAAAAAACGATGATTGTAATTGGAATGTTGCATGTTGACGGAATTCACGTTTGACAGTGTAAATAAACCAATGGCACCCAACAACCAACCATCTTTGGGTGACCAGTCCGTGATTGTCTGTACAATAAAACTATGGGACGATTCCTTTGACACATAAATACTAAAAGAGGCGATATACATAAATTTGTGCATATCTGTAAGTTTGGTCCAAAATGAATGCAAATACTGTGTTGGCCTTGCACTGTCAATAAAACGTCGCAATTTATGTTAAGTACTGTGATATAAATCAATGTCTTGGGGACAAAATTCATGGCACTTTTTTCCTGATCACTTTAAATAAATATGGCTCTTGTATAACACGCTTAATATCACAGCAACAATTGATAACATTTTAAAAAGCTCAGTCAATATCCGTTATGTGCGGCATACCAAGAAATGGTTCGTCAACTTGACATTAAAATTCATCAACCGCTGTTTGAAATAGGTGATCGAGATAACTTCTTACTGGGCGGATTTACCGATTCACCAGTTGGGATAGATGTGATTTTTGGAACATCTGTCGGCGCCGTGTTACCATTCACATCACTCGTAGGGGCTCGAGGGGCATGTTCCTCCACCTCTATCTGAACTGCTTTATTTTTCATTTCAGTTTGAATTCTGTCCGTTGACGTTCCTTGAGTGCAGCAGATGAGACAGTCAGGCGGGCACTTATAGTTCCTCAACCTTGGCGGGACAATGACCGAAAACCCTCCATCCGTACCCCGCCATACCAGCCGCTGGGCACTGTTAGCGTTTGGCTCTAGGAGAGCAATCGCCGGAATAGCAACGTCATTTTCCAGAATTTCTGGCTGCTTTTGAGTCATTGGGCCCACTAATGTTGCTCTCTTTCCTATGGGCTTGGTAACATCCACTTTAATATCCAGCGACATTTCCCATCGTATGGTTTTCAATACATATATGCGGTTAGCAATCAAGTTTTTGGCGACGAGCCAAGTGTAGAAACTCTGGTCGCGTGACACCCGCGTGAGATATGCGCTTTTTTCTGGCAACAGCGGTATTTTCCACGTGATCTTTGGGTAGAAATTGTCGCTGACACTCACTGTCACGCGCTTCATGTGGCAGGGGCCGTGCACAGTTTTCACCTCAGTTCTGGACCCGTACCAGGGGTAGTGGGTCCCGTCTGAATCACTGATCATCTTCTGTTTGCCGGAGATCAATTCTGGAAATTCCCAAGAAGTACTGCAAATCGAAATAAATCAATTCATAAATTAATCAATATGCCTGTGTATACAACAGCGACAAAAAAGGTCTGGGAAACGACCTGCTGATTTAACTTGTATAATTTATCACCCGGATTATCATACATGTATGCCTATCAGTACAACATATATAAATTTATACATTATGTATCATATAAATTATCTCTACGATAATTTATTTTAGCATCGGTGAACTTTTGTACCTAGGCATATTTCACATTTGCCATAATAGTGATAACGTTATACATATACATGTAGGCGGAGAAGCGAGAGAAAACGATCCCCTTTTTTCTTCCGCTCCATTCGGCTAAACAACCCATGAAAACTGTGAAACTCAGTGTAAAAAAATTGAGACTGATTTGGGCCACCCTATGGGAAGAAAAAATAAATTAGACAGCTAAATTGCGACTTACTGTCCATCCTCTCCGTAAGTGTTGATGAACTCCATTTTATCACAGGCTTGTATCCAGCCGATCTGCCATACTTGAGTGTTGGCCAAGTGTGGGATCAATACCTCAGCTCGCGCTCTGGAAAAGATATTAAGGATTAGGAATATTAGAAAAAATATGAATTAAAACTTCATACGTTACTGCATGTACCTTAGGTTCAAAATCTCCACTGCCAATTTAAGATATATCGGATTGAAATATTCCATATAAGTCCGTAATAGTAAAAACTGTTTCACAAGTCTTTTTAAGTAAAATATTTGAGATTTTTTAACTCTAAAAGACCGCCTCTGTATCACTAACTGCAACAAAGTCTTAATCAATACATTTGTCTCTCTTATAAATATTTTTCATGGTCGAGATATTACTAACAATCGTAGCTCCCATTAAAAAAAATGCTCACGTAGTAAAATTTTAACACTTCAAATCGATCAATGTTATGGTATCAGTAGTAGAAGTAGTGGATTCATTAGCTCCCCGACAATGTATCCTTGTGAAAACTACATTTGTGAATTTAATCGAGAAATATATATGCAGCCGTAGGAATAATGCCAACTGGTGATATGGTTTTGAGTCCAGGACGTTGGGCTTCTACGAACTGGCATTGCGGTCATTTTATGTAATCCCTTTTCACAACCAATTTCCTTCTTTCCCTTTTCCATACAATATCAACATCGCTCAGTAACTGAAGACGTCTTATGTAATCACAGTAAATCTAGCTTTTCAAAAGAAAATGACAAGTTCTGATACAATAATTAATTGAGGTCAGATTTACATCCTTATAACAATTCAAAATACCAGTTATCTACTCTGTCTACTTATAAAATTCCAAAATATGACACGCGTCTTGTAATTGGATCAACAAATTTTACATGGAACTAATAGTAAAATGATTATCTCATCTAGACCTCGTGATTTCTGGCGCCTGACCAACGATAACAAAGATATTCATTTTAAGGGAAATGTTAACTGGAAGTTTATCAGGAGTGGAGGGGGGTAGGGGAGGGTAACTGTATCACCCACAGTTTCGTTAAATTTTTGGGGACCTTTCTCCCGCCGCTGAACTTATGACATAGGTTTATAGCATGTCACATTGACAGCGAGGAGTGTGCGTGAAAAAAGTGTGAAATAATCCCCACACGCCTGCAAAATGAAACAAGTTATTTATGCTATTATATAGAGAGTAACGTTTTTAGGTATAGATCAAAATGATAATCCGATAATGTAATTCTCGTAATTACCATGTTAAGGGAAGGATTTTGTGACAGCTGCAATGTACAATGCAAATAACTCAAATGAAATTTAAAAGGTTACCGTCAGGGCTAGACAAAAGCTCCTAAATCACTATCTTGAAGTAAAATCCTTTGCATTTACATAAGTGTCAATTTACCGATGACGTCATAATTGCCATTTCGGGGTAAAACTTGCAAAATCCGTTTCTCAAATTTCTCCTGAACACCTACGAACATGTTTCAATGCTAATTTAATGACCTCATTGAGTACTTAAAAACCCTGCCAGCGATATTTTCTTAAAAGTCTTAGTTCAGATCATATTGTTAATAAGCAGAATAATGCCTTGGTTCAATGATGCATTACTCCTTGACAAATAAATTTAATCCAACATGACGGCAAGGGATTGAAACCCATACACGTGTCGTCACCTATGCCAATTTTCGTGATAAGTTCTTGACAACGATGAAGTTACGCCCCATACCGATTCTTATTTCACCTCAAAACTGAAAGCTGTTTAGTTGGCGATAAATACTCCGAGGTCCTTATGCTTATGCTTAGCAACTAGAAATTTTAAGACCAGTATTTTATTTTTTCAAAGGGATTTTTTTAATCAGCAAAATGATAGATGCATTACTGAATAAACAGATACACGAAAAAACCTCATTTTAGGTATTTTGTTGGTCTCAAATCCTGTCAGTGTCCTTAAACACTACAAGAAGATGACTAACCTAACAGGAAAAAAGTCGCAATATTCACGTATTATATAGATAGTAACGTTTTTAAGTATAAATCAAACTTCACTCACGGATACTCAAATTATCGTCATTATGGGATGGATTTTGTGGCAGCCACAATGTAGAGTGCAAAAGCACTTTAATAAAATTTAAGCATCTTACACAACAGGACACAGAAGTTGGGCGGGAACTGGGACTTGGTTTCTTAAAAATCAATCATATTTGTTACACTATTTAACTTGTAAGATAAAAATATATATTAGTCTATTATTTTAAAAATACGTTCCCTTTAAAATTATTTTAGTCTTAAACCTGAGAATGTAAGAAGAAATGCTAAAATATTATTTTAAATCATAGATGTGAATGTCAGAAAAAATCCAACATCACGTGAATAACCAGGATGAGTACACATATTTACCATGAACTGATATTTTATCTAAGAAAACTGATACGTACCTAAAGTGGGGAGTCCTGTATTTCAAACACGATGTTTCGTCCACTTCGGTAAGTGCATCGTCAATAGAGGTGTCTATTGCTTCAACAATAAAATTTGGTTTGTTCGACGCGGATAAGCAGGAGAGAGAAGAATCTCTCATAACAATCACTGGCGGCGAATTACTCCTCTCAAGGGTCGACACGCATCCACCCATGTTACTTATGTTGCTCTCTACATGTACACTGTAAGATACCCTATGAGTCCTTTCCATTGGGTGTCAAATTTCCCAGTTCTGGACATCTTTTACAGGACATCCTTTCTGCTGTTGCGTTAAGTCAAAAAGGCGAATTGCGGAAGTGAATGTGACCTAGTGGGCTTTCAACCACCAGCTAGAAGAGAAATGAGCCTTATCTGGCGCGGGTCACTGGTTACTATGGGTTCAATATTATGCGTAACAATGGGATCTCGATTTCATCAAATTCTCAGTGCTCAAGTCACATTATTTGTAAGACACCAGTTTTTATTTCAGTAACCTGATGCCTGCTATACATGCGTCACCGTTTACCTTAATTTATTGCTGCTGGAAATTCATATAACACAAACAAAAACTGTTCTCAGAAATAAATGCACGTGAGGAGATTGTTTACTTCCGCGTTATGACGTCAGATCCGTCCACAGTACTCTGTTCTCCAAAATGGCAGCGCCAATAAAATTTGGACCGGCGAACAAGAGGTCTCAGAAATAAATGATTTATACCTTTTAAATAGTAACAATCAAAACCCAAGGAAAATGAGCACCATGTCAGGGTTACCGGAAACACGCTCAAGATTCAAATCTTCTAAACAAGAACATACAGCGGCTGAAAATGTACAGCCAACCGGAGATGCCACCCCAAACACTGCCGAAGCTTTGGCCACAGGAGAGAGCGAAAGTATTCTTCTACAGATGGACAAACAGTACACAAAATGCCTAGCAATTTGTGCTTCTAGAAACTCTTCGTATGGATGGCTGAGGCCACTGATGAAGGCACTAGAGAACAGTTGTCATGGCATTCCATGGCTCTTGCTTGCCGCCTGGGCAATTCTTAACTCGCGGGATGTGAAGAATCAGACACTGGCACTAAATTTAATGTTAGGTGAGACTGGTGTTCTTCAGTATCTCTTCATTTATGTCCTTGCATGCATCTTGTATCCTCTTGGGTAGATTTATTTTTCAGTAACAATTTACCATGCGCCAATGCAGCAGCGTTATTTGAATTTTAAAGAACAAAATGCATGTATCGTACGATTTTCTGATTCTCGCCTTAGTCGACTTTGCTCAGAATGGCTATCTGTGACAAAAAGGGGTGTTATTTTTGCCACCTTTGTACTGCTCAAGGGCTTTAGATCATAAATGTAGGTCACAGATTGTTGGTGTGAATAGTGGCTTCTGTTTACCTCCCAGAAGATAAGATACATGTACAGGCATTTTTTAGATTAGCATACAAATGCATTTGTATTGTACTGGAATGAAAATCTGTTGATATTTTATGTAATAATGCTTTTTGTTGTATCACTAGTTATAACAATATACAATTTGGTATCTAAAACATTTTCTTGTTTTTTTTTTTTCATTCTAGCTTTGATATTTGACCTAATAATGGTAGGTGTGGTGAAAACAGCTGCTAAGAGACCAAGACCACAACACAATGAAATGGACATGTTTTTCACGGTCTCAGTGGATCATTTCTCATTCCCCTCAGGTCACTCCACCCGAGCTGCCATGCTCTTGTACTTTTTCCTGGACCAGTTAGTATTGCCAAGTTTTGTCAAACTTGGGCTTATCATGTGGAGTGTGTGTGTGTCGCTATCTCGCGTGATGCTAGGACGCCATCATGTATCAGATGTTATTAGCGGGTTTATCATGGGATTATCTCAGTATGTCATCCTGCACTCAGTTTTATGGATTGAAGAGAGTAGAGCAGGGAACATTGTTCATGGGATACAGCAGTGTTTTGGTCTGATATGATAGTGGGCCATATGATATTTATATAATGTATTATTGTTATTTATATAATGTATTAGATACAGGCAAGGTGTTCTGTATTGACTTAGTCCTTTCAATGTGAATAATTGTGAATTTTACATGTACTAAATTTTTTCAAGTCATCAATTCTTATAATATAAGAACATTCCTATTGTGTGGTTGCAAGGAAACTGAAAATCAAGCTTCCTTGTGTAAGTATACGTACTTTCAATTTCATACAGAAAAAGTACCACAAATGATAAAATGATGTTTATGAAGAAATTGATAATTTCCCCCCATTGAAGAGATGGGAGTCAACACTGCCTGTGATACACTCATGTGCATTATGAGTGGTCATCATGTCCACCTTTGCTGATGAGTACAGTATCTTACTTTTACTAGTCTGGATATGAGGAGCTAAAGACCCAGTATGTGAGATCCACCACTGCATGATCTTTGCTATCAACATCTACTGTGGTAGAAGAGCAAGATACACTGTATCTGGGTATTTTGTTCTCAACATCCCATGCGGTATGACAAGGGGAAATGTTGTGCACAAGTTTGAAATTGACCTATTTCTCCAATGCTGTGAAATACTTCTAGTCTCGTTGATTACATTACTTTTTAAAATATATCTCTTGCTCCCAATGCTTTGTTGTATTTTTAAATACAGGATTCCTGGACCATTGTTTGATGGTACATGTATGTGGGATCAGTTGCATCTGAATAGAATTCCAGGATGAAATGTAAGCAATTTTAGACAAAAACTGTTATAAGTTGTAGATAAATTATTGAGAACATGGTAGAACTTTTACTCTGCTTTGCATTCCCTTTTTTACAAATTTTTGTTTGCATGTAAAAGTCTGTAATAATGGTGTCATGTGTGACTCTGTTAATAAATAATTTGCTCCGAGATAAAGAATTGATTGCTGTAATGAATACTTTTCATTTTACCCTCTCCCCCATAGAAAATCCATAATAAACTAGTAAAGCACTCAGAGTGCAGACCTCCATCGGAACAAATAATTAACTAATAATAACCAATTAACCATTAATTAATAATTAAAGGATCATCACCAAAATCTGCTCTTTGAGCCCATTTCTTACCTTTCCTGAAAAATATTATCAAAACTTGTCAATAACTTTTTGCAGTCAGGAATCAAAAACTACTTCCTTTTCATTGGTAACTTTATTCTATGCCCGATGTACACTCCTGTAAATTTAATATGAAACACAAAAATATGGATCAATACTCGAATCGGATTTTTCAATATTTGACAATGCATGGCAAAATTACGTGGATGCTAATATTTCAAAATGATGTACATTTACTAAAGAACAGGCATATATCACCAATTTTAAGTGAAATGTATTGAATAACATTTAACTTGAGGGGAAAACAATGCTGCAAATTTACAATACTATGATACAAATTTTGAAAATTGGGTTCACCGAAATTTGTTACTTTTGAGAAAAAAAAATGGCAAGTGAACCACCATTACCTCGTTTGTCACATTAAGAAAGTCTCTACCACCACTGAAGTAATAAATGGTAAATAGTATCACAAAATCATTCACAACATACAACAGCAGATTTATTCAATAATATCAAGAATTCAATAACATGACATCAAATGCTTAAAATAATGCTTTTTTTTACTTCTTTTGCACCAAATAGTACAAAGAACAAGGATGGAATTTTATTGACATATTACCATAAAAATACTTCTGTCAGTTGCATATTTCTTACAGCCTCGAGCTGAATGGGCCATAGCTCAACATAGAAAGAAGGTTACCCCTTTTTGATGATAATTAAGAAAAATTATGCAAGATTTCTTTCTTTTACTTAATTATGTGCGTGGTTTCTTGGGTATTTAATATTATGTTGTTTTCCTTAAATTGTTATGTCTACACTACCTCTGTAATATCACTCCTTAAGCTTTTATACTATATAGATATATATATAATCTGAATAATATATGGCAAAAACACCAATTAGTCAATTTAATCAAGAAAATGTAAAATCTGATCAGGTAATTATATCATCTTTATACCAAAATACATTCGTTGAAATAAGCAAAACATACAAACAAATCACCTGCCTACTACGTTATACAAAAACGGATAATTATCTTAACCAGAGACTATTGAACTAGTAATGCAAACCATTTTTTTATGTAATAACATTTTTCATCTACGTGAGCTGCCTAATGCACTACAGGTGTATTTATAACATTAATAATGAATTTTTTTTCACTAATTGCTTTATGAAGTGCTAAATGCTCTATGAATGAAAATCATGTAAATAATTTGTGAGTGAAAGTTTAATCAGGACGACATGAAATGTTCATCTCCAAAACATCCAAGGCTGCTGACCCAATGATTTATCCAAGGCTGTTGTTTATTTTACTTGGGCTGTGGGGTAATTCGGAGATATGGCTTTTTGGAAGGCACAGGAATTGTTTTGTGGTTTGGAAAAAGCTTGGCAGCTTCGTCTTCTTTGATAGTGGGAAGTACCATGCAGTCACCCCCATTCTGGACAAAATAAGAAAGGAAAACTCAATTATATAGATGAATGGTATTTTAAGATTGACTGAAAATAAATGTAGTTGACATACCTAAATGTGCACCACTTATAGATAAAATCCATTTCCAGAATGTCCAGACTACCACAATCTACTTAAAGGCACAGTCAAAAAATTAGGTAAACAACCTTTATTTGACACAACTGTGCTACCAGGCCTGTAGCCAGGGGGGGTTCGGGGGGTTCGAAAGAACCCCCCTTTTTGCTGGAAAAAGGTCCACTCTGGGTAAAATTTGACCTAGGTACATGGGGATTATATGGTAAAAGGTCCACTTTTTCAGAAAAAGAACCCCCCCTTTGAAATTGCTGGCTACGGGCCTGGCTACAGTTCTGAATNTACATGGGGATTATATGGTAAAAGGTCCACTTTTTCAGAAAAAGAACCCCCCCTTTGAAATTGCTGGCTACGGGCCTGGCTACAGTTCTGAATTTACTTATCTTCACATAAAGAAATAAGTGGAGAGCAGTTCTTGAATTCCGGTTTGTTTTTCAAATTAAAGTATGGGCCCATAATGAACTGAGAGACTTTTGTTACAAGCATTGTACCTTGGGAACATGAGGAGATTGGAACACAAGAGAGTGATAGTCTGTACAGTAAAAATGCATAGGACTATATCACAGAACTAAATCAGATTAATTGTAGTTTATTCACAGCAAAACGCTCCATGCACTTTCTTCCAGTTTTGACAGATCACAGGAATATGGAAATAAAAAAAAAATTGTCCCCATTAAAACTAATGGTAGGTGTAACTGACAATGGTGAAATACTTTCTTACCACCCAGTCTGCTGGCGTTGCTACTTTTTGGTTGACAGTGAGCTGGAGAGAGTCCACCACTCTCAGGATTTCACTAAAATCACATGAAAAGGCAACCTTTATTTATATCTATATATTTTATTTATATATTTATGTTTATTTGTTTACATTGATTAAAATTCTCACATCAAGAACATATCAATTTAGGGTCCGCTGTAAAGCTGATGTCTAAAAAGTATCTTTAAACACAGTTTAATCTCCATACACACAAGTGCAAATATACACATGAACACACTTATTGAAAGAGTCACTTACGTAAAATTCCTCCCTGTGGTGGCAGGATACAACATAGACAACTTCAGCTTCTTGTCTGGGCCAATGATGAACACCTGTAGAAGTGGTTGTGTACATGTACATGACTGTGCACTGTTGGAAAATATTGCATTATGGTCTACAATATTGAATGGATGCACTTTCATATGTATATATAACATCAATGGAATAGATTTTTAAAAATAGATGCACTTTCATGCTTATTTCCAAACAAGATAAATAATCCTCGAATCACACTTGCGAATTCATAGTTGAAAAGGATGAAACTACTAGCAGACCTCCCCACCCCTACCTACCAATACTGTCAGTACAAATCTGCAGCTATAAAGGAAAACACCCTTGGCCACACTGTTACATATAACTGCAGTCCACCATGGACAAAATGACTTATTACAATGTCCAAGACTACACATACTAGTATGCTTTACTTACAGCTCTGCATGTTAGAGGCAAACCAGCGGCATCCTTCTCAGCAGGGTCAACCATCCCCAGGGATACAGCCAGGGAGCGGTCAGAGTCAGAGATAATGGGATAAGGGAAATCCCCTTGGTCCTTCATGTAGCTCTTAATATCCTGCAAATAGCAGTCAAGGCTTTAGGATGTTAAGACATGCAATTCTCTTGACTTCATCTAACGAAATGCAGCTAAGCATTATAATTTGACCAAAGAAAATGTAGAATTACAAAGATGTTGAAAATTGCTAAAAATATTTCTCATTTATTTCACCCAATTTAAATTCATTTCAGCATTTGGTGATATTTTTACCCTGTCAACTAGGAGACAATTCATTTATATACTCTAGCTGTATTGCCATGGTCTTTATCACATAGTATTAATTAATCTATTTATCTTATTTTATATTTGGATGGGGGTCCAACTGACCTCAATCCAGCCTTTGTGGCTCTCCACATTGTCACAGGACAGTGCAATCAACTTGACACCACGCTTGTTGAATTCTGGGACCAGCTTGGTGACACGCCCTAACTCAGTGGTACAAACAGGGGTGTAGTCAGCTGGATGGGAGAACAAGATTGCCCACCTGAGAAAAAACAAATTAAAAAGATGCATGAAATACATGGATAGACATAATCATGATATATTGCCTGTGGTATAGTATACAAAACCAAAAATACAGCTTTTAAATATAATTTTCCCCTTTTCAAGATTCAGTGCAGTTCAGTGTGAGATTCAGGCATTTTTTTTATATGTATTACTATAATACTCATTTATCTACCCTGCTCTGGCTTTATCCTATACTTATCAATTTTTTGGACTAAATGTTATTCAAAGGCATGCATGGAGATGAGCTAATGTTGAAAATGCCACATGAAAAGTATTTTTATGTGTTTGAGACTTTTGCCTTTAAAGCTTGTGCCATGTGGAAGTTTATTCTACATGCCTGTATATAAGCAGGGAGGTTCTGGGGTGTAAGAGAACAGCCTAATCAACCAATAAAACACAGTGGCAGGTTTAGGGGTGTGTCAGGGGGTCCTGACCTCCGTTCAATTTCTACAAAAAATCACAGCAACGATCCCTCTTGAAATAAGAATTTTTACATAGTTCTAAACTGTACCAAATGACACTGTTCCCCCTCTAAAATTACAAAAAGTTTGGGGGCCCTTCAGCGGGCCCGAAACCCCACACCAAGGGGGAGAGAGAAGGGTCTGCTTTGCATCTAATCCTTGATCCCCCTGAAATGTCTGTTCTGAATCACATTTTGACCAGGTTCTATGCCACTTCTTAAGTTCACTCAACAAAGGGTGGTAAAATGAAGGTCCTCTTTTTCAGAAAAGGACCTCCCCTCCACCTTTTGTTCTGAACCCTCTGGCTATGCTGCAGGCCTGTCTCTCTTCATCTTTTCATAAGTGTCACTGATATACTACACATGTACTAGCCTACATAAAAGACATCTGAGAAGATGTATTGTGGATTGAAAGACTACTACCCTTCATCTGTCCATTTGTTATTCAAAGCATTATGGAATGCCTCTGACCAATGAATTAGATAACTGTTATCTGATGCCTTGCTCTGACCTAGAATTCCTTTCCCTCCACTTCGGTGAGAAAGCTTACTGACCCTTGTCCAGTGTTCCCTGGGTACAAATTCAGACTAAATACACTTAATTGTGTAGCTCTTAATTCACTATATATTGAGTGGATCAGTGTGGGTAACACAGCTGGGTTTTGATGTTTTATTATTATTAATTCCTTTGGAGTTAAACATTTAAATAAAACTTGTGCCCCTACTACTCCTTTGTCACCATGTGCACAGTAATGCGCACAGGTAGCCAGGACTAAAAATCAAGAAGTAAAATATGTGCTATTTGCTGAATTTGCAACAGTGCCAACGCTAAAATATTAGACACTACTTCAAAGAAAAACTGCCGACCTGAAGGCACCTGATGGACTTAATGCGCGCGTCCCACGCGAGAGCTATCTAAATTCCTCATCCTGAGAATTCACTCATGCCCGAACTTTCGGCTTGGAGTTCGAACTACACCTGTCCTGTCAGGAACAACACCAGTGACCACAACATGGGCTCCTGCGGAGGCATTGCTGAGAAAGGTTATGCGCTCGGAGGGGCGGCCGGGGTACTTAAAAACTTTGGGACGACAATTATACTGAAGTGTACATATACATGTACATTAACACAAGTGACAATGTTGTAGCGCCTTTAAGCTCGATATTTGTGACAGACGCAACTCGTTTTAGGCCACGTGTACGAGACAAGCAACACTCAGACTTGAAGTTAGATAACCGTTTACAAACAACGCTGACCTAGTTTTCTTCATTTCTGACACCCCTCTTTGTCTACGGACTAACTTACTGGTCTTCTAAGCATTAAAAAAAGCATGAAAACCCTCAAAAACTGCTCCAAACTTACGAGTCACCAATCCAGTCATGGAATTTGAAGTCTCCATGAGTGGTTTTTGCGTCAAAGTTGGGGAATACGTCTCCAAGGTTCACCATGGTTGATGTGCGACGTCCGCTGTCTCGGGTGCGAGCTGAAAGTTAACGCCACGGGAAACGTGTCTGTCCTTGATAATTATAACCCCACTGCGCAAGTGCAACCTTAGATATGACCGCGTCGGGCGAGGGGGGAAGGGGGGGGGGGAGGAGCTCAAGAAAGCCGAATAGGGCATATGCAATCTCGAAAACAATCCTAAAATTTCAGGAATGTTAAGTAGTACATTTTGGATGCTTAAAACCCCTCCAAAGAGTGCTATTGACGTCAATATGACAATAGGCCTATTTCTCGTATTCCTAAACCAGGTTATGGATTTCTAGCGTAACTGTCACACCGTACCCCTGTAGGTCACATAAAGGTGGGTCAATCTACTGTAAAAGAAAATCAGAGAAATGTGGGATGCTCAGGCCTTGTCTTCTACAGAAAACAGACCTAAAAAACTCAGCGTTTTCATGGGTCTCAATTTGCACCCCTTTCGTGGGCTCCCCTAATGATAAAAAGCAAACTGTCACTAAACATTCTGGGATATATAGCTTTTCATCGGTTCGATTACATTTTCAATACCCTTAACATTAGTGGATTGCTTTTAAAAGTGCCACATTGTCCAGGTTCATTCATTCGATATACTGCCTTCAGGCCTATAGGCCTATATTCCAGATCACTGATCACATTTTTGTGTGTTTGTTTTGTTTTGTTTTCATGTTTTTGTTATTATTCTATTTATTATTATTATTATTTATTTTTTTTTTTTTGTAAATGTCTACAAGCAGGATTTTTTGCTTTTGTGAGGGTCGTGTGTAAGCTCGATATTTTCACAATAGTAGGTTTGATGAACATTTAATTTTTTCTTCGAAAAAGCTTAATTGAGTCATATGAACTCGATTATCAACCACAGGGCTTGTTTAATTTTGATACGAAAATTCGGTCCGAAATGTTGGCCTATTAGCTTCTTTTATTGCGTTATAGAATAGCTTCTTTTATTGCGTTAAATAATAAATTCGAGGAAGTGCTTCCGAGGAAAACCTCACCCCAAACCCCCTAACTGCAGTATCCTTGACCCAGTTTTCTGGCCTCTGAATTTCAGTTTAAAAACTTGTCATGCCTTATCATTATGAAAGTAAAGTCACAAGCAGTTACCCGTATTTTTATTCTCACTTGTTAGTCTCCATCTCTTTTCATTTGTAATATTTATTGTATTTATGTAGCTGTCTTCGGCCCCTAAATGTATGTTTCGCTATATTTTTTCGCAATTACGTTTAACAAACGTGATGCATTTTACTTTTAACAAACATTTTACTTTTTTCATGCTTAGGCCGATGTATATTTTTATCGCCTTTAGGAATTATGTTAGTACTCTTTGACTAAATTTATCCCAATACGCATGCTACTGCCTACCGTAACCCATGCAATACTTTTTACCAGACAAAAAAAAAAAAAAAAAAAAAAAAAAGACTACTTTTGCCGCTGGTTATGACCAGTGTGTTTATCTGCTATTCTATTTGTAAAGCTGGTGACAAGGTTAATAATTTTACATTTTCGCTGATATGAAACAACTGAAAACTCTTTCCATCCAAACCCAATATAGAGGTGCATTTCACATGCTGGACGGTCCAAAATTAAAATGGAATGTATTCAAAGTAGTATTCAATTTTTAAAACATATGTGTGTGTAACGTTAGTAAGTGACAGCATGCAGCGAATAAGAGCGGGGAGTGTTTAGTAGAGTAACTTAAGTTGATTGACATGCTCTTATGGTATTTATAGAACTGCGCTTAGTGTAAACAGAGAGAAGGCCGCTAGAGATTGCATGAGGTAGGAATAGAAATGAAGGAAGCGGCGCGGGTAATAACTGGACAGTAGTTCAATAAATAATAAGAAAGTTAATATCTGAGTTGTATTTGCTACCTCGCGTAACATGACGAAGACAAGTCAGTAACGTCGTCACATGTGTATAGAACAAAAATCCGCTGTCTCAATTTTAATTTGGTTTTTAATTTTTACCATGTCTTTACATTATGCAAAGAGCTTTAAATGGTAACGTATGGGTAACGTAACGTCATTTAATTTCAATTTTATACCGCGTTCCGATATATTTTGTAGTGATTCAGTCGTGGTAAATTATACACGACGTAAAGATGTTTTTATAAATACAGATAGTAACTCAACTTGCTTTGCAACCACGTACCACGTAACGTATGTTCCCCAGAAAAATTGCCAGGTAGTTTAATTTTAATTTGTCCAAGTACAATGTACTTGGTGCAATAGAAAACGCTGTTTTCTGTTGCTGACCGAAAATAGATTGACATTTCTGATATAATATTTGGATAACGAGTGGAAAAATGGTTAATTTAATGCTTATTTTACTGTCGGTAGGGTGTATTTTTCCCGATCTTTAATATTCAGTGACAAGCAAACTTAAGTCGCTCAAAAACAATTAACTGCTCTGTACAAGACATTTTCATAATTTTCACAACGTTATACTTGCAGGAATAAATAAAAAAAAACAGAAACCAGTGATGATTGATTTTTCAAAGTGAGTAAAACATTTCCACAGCTGAACGTTTTGCATTTGTGTCAGTAACACAGTGGCAGATTTAGGGGGGGTGTCGAGAGGGGGGGAGGGTGTCCTGATCCCCCTTCGATTTCTGAAAAAAAATCACACCAATGGTCCCCTCTTGAAGTTAGAAATTTAACTAGCTGAATCATAGTTCTAAACCGTACCAAATGGCACCGTTCGCACTCTAAAATACCAAAATATTTCGTGGCCCGGGGAGGGGGGGGGTAGAAGGTCGGCTTCGTATCCTCGGACCCCCCCCCCCCCCCCCCCCCCCCCCCCCCCC